TTCTTTCGTGATGTTTTTTTTAATCCTTTTATTTTTCTATAGGGCATAATTTTTTTTACATATCTGATCTATATCTATATGTCACATGATATTAGTTATTTGTTTTGAAAATTTTATTCACATTGTAATTTTATTGTGACAGTCAAAAGAAATAAAACAGATATGAGTATAAGAGATGTATGTAAAGTTTATATTCATGTTTATAATATTTTATTTTTTTGATTAAAAATTCTTGAAGCAAAATGAAATTTTTTTTTTTTTGTAAAGAAACAACGCAAAATTATCAGATAAATAAGTCTTCGAATGTCAAACAATATTTTGACATTGATTATTCTTTGTTTTTTTGCAAATGTGGAAATATTGTTTTACCGATAATTTTTTTTTCCGTTGACACATTTTATCTATAAACAGTAAAAGGAAATTGAAAGAGAAAGAGAAAAAAATTCTAAATAATTTATTCCGATATTGACATTCAGGAAATTGATGTTGAGTATTTTTTGGAATAAAAGATTCCTTTTTTTTGTTCTTGTTTAGATTTGTTGTAGATTCAACAGACGACACATCATCATATTTTTACGGAATTCATAAATAAAAATTTTTCTTGTTGAAAATGAATTTTATTATATGATACAAAAATGATTTTATCGACATTGGTTTTTTTTTTTTGTATTTTTCATTATTATCACTTGATTGAGTTACAGTTACTACAGATCACTGTTGATGAAGATTTTTTCTGAATTTATTAATATATCCTAATTGGAATAGTTCATTGGTTTGGTTTATGTTTATCAAGAGTAAGTGAATGCGATTCATTAATAAGAATGCCTCGTCAGGATGAATCCCAGGGATGATTATTATTCGAATTTGTATTATGCTAAATGGAATTAGAATAGAATCAAGGGTCTTTTGTTTAGAAGAAAAAAGAATTTTTTGTATAGAAATTTTATGAGATGTAGAACAATATAAATAACTTCCTTTTTCTTAAATGTGTTATTTCTAAATATAGTCGAAAGTGGTTTTTCTTTGAGATGTCTGTTCAATGAGGCACAAGTTGGTGTCTAGATAAAGAGAAGTTCGACATTTCAATAATATTGATCTATCGACTTAGAACATGAAAGTGTATTATATAAGTATAATTAGGATGAAAAAGAAAATGTAACATATGGAATACAAATAAGCTGAAACGTATATGAAACAGTAACATCGATAGATGGCTAATAGGGTTATAGAATGCAAAAACAAAACTCTATATTAAAAGAATTCATAGAAGACAAATATAGACACTACTGATCTAATTGCATAAAAAAAAACGGAGTAACGGTAATCTTATTGCAAAATTCAAAGTTCATAGTCGTACAAGGGAACATATCCTATTGCTGAATACCGTTCAACTTCATATTATGGCTACGAGTAAGTTTCGGTGAGAGTAAGAAAAATTTTAGAAGATTCATATTCATTACTTATTGACTAAGAATTATAGTTGTTTTGATGGATTTTTTATTGCGTACAAGACATCTTTGAAAAATCCACAAAAAAGAAAGTTTCGAGCTGAAATGTTGCTTCTAGGCGCGCTTAATAATCATTTGATAAACATGAAATTTTGAAAACAAATGTATATGTCTTTCTTATGATATTTAATCTCGAAACAGACTCAATTACTGTATCCTCCTATAGTAAACTATTTTTTTTTTTTTTTGATAAAAAGTGTATAATAAGTTTTGACTCTCGAATGTAATATTATTTTCTCACATGCTTCTGTATTGGCTGAGTGGGATATTCAAAGTACATATATTAGATAGATTTTTTGAAATCTTTTTAGCATTTTATTAGTAATGTTACATGAAAGATACTATTCGAAGGAAGATTTACAAATCGAATTTCTTTTATTTAAATAATAAAAAAAAATGATTTATTAATGTTTAACATATTTGCTCTCTACTTTGATTTTTCATTTGCTTCAGTTGATACACAGTATTTTTTACATCATTTACTCCGATTTTACTGCTGTAAACATTTTCAATTATCGTACTACTTGATTTTCAAATTCTAGTTCGTTATCAAATTGTTCATCTCTCAGGTTTTTCTTAATTAGCTAAATAACAGCAAATTTCGTATCATCCATGTTAGAATCAATACGTTTCTCATTGTCTTTATATGTGATTTATTCGTATGTTTTGTTGTTTCTGCATGTTGTGATCACTAGAGACAAAGAGATCCTATCATTTTTTTCCCGTTCATAATAGTAGGGATGTGTTGCAGAACGGAAGAATTCTATGCAGAAAAGCTAATACTACTTGTAGTGAGTGGGTAACTAAATGATTACAATTTTTCTCGATCTATGATGATTCCGAAAATTTTTTATGATTGTAGCATCACTTGTATCTCTATAATAGTAATAATAAAAAAATTTGAAATTTTAGCATAGAATAGATCTAGATATCTAATTTTTTATATCTATTATCTCGAGAATGACATGTTTGTTGAAGTTCAAAAAAACATTTAAGACTATCAAATTTACCTATGGACAATATTTCAGGTAAAACCTTTTTGTTTTTAATTTTTAGGATATATCTTGCGTGCAATAAAAATTTCTATTAAAACGATTATAAATCTTTATCAGTAGATCTGAATTGCATAAAGCTTTGTTCAGTCCCATTGAGACTTATTTCTATCCATAAAATATGAAGTCGAATGCAGTTCAAAAATTGGATGAAAGATGTAGAATGAGTTTTGACTGTCTCTTGCAATATTATTTTTTCACATGTTTCTGTGTCAGCCGAGTCTCGTATTCACAGTACACATACACACATTAGACGTCTGGATCTATTCGATGTTAGAGTTTCATTTTTTTGTTTTTGTTTATTATTGTTACAGAGACACAGATGATGTCAAAATCATAAAAAATATAGTCATTCGATCACCCCCTCACTACAAATAACGTTTCTTTTTCTGCATAGAATTCTTTGATTCTGTAATCTACCCACACTATTATAGATGGGGAAAAAAATGATAGGATCTCTTTATCTCGAGTGAATGTAACATGTAGAAACATTAATGAATCTTGTTCTTTTTTTTTATTATTTGTTCAAAAGAAATTCGATTTGTAAATCTCCTTTCAAACAGTATCTTTTATTCACGTTGCTTATAAAATGCGAAAAAAAATTTTCAAAAATTTTTATGATTTTAGCATCACTTGTATCTCTATAATAATAATAAGGAATAAAAATCTGAAATTCTAGCATAGAGTAAATCTAGACATCTAGTGTATGTAATATGAATATTGACCTTGACTAATACGAAAACATGTGAGAAAACAATATTGCATTAGAGAGTTAAAACTTATTTTACATTCTTTATACCCTTTCATGACTTTGTTTCATAGACACTCATAGTAGTTTAATACATATCAAAAGTATTGGATTAATATGTAAAGCTCATAGACATAGAAATTAATGCAAATAGATACTCTAATATGACACCTTTCGTAAGAATTAGTCATTGTCAAGTCTATTCATGCCCTCGATAATTTCTTCTATCGAATACAGAAAAAAAAATATCTGAAATTCTTTTATAAGTAAACAAAATAAAAATAAATTTTATTGATAAACTTTTCGGGTTATGTACTACTAATGTTCTTGTTACATGTCTAAGGCGTTTTTTTTTTCTTTATTTTTTATAAATATAACATTGATCATCCGATGATAAATCATAATAATGATATTTATCATCTGATAATAAATCATAATAATTATATTTATTTACTTTTAATTGTTTATGACACGTAGAACAACATAAGCATAGTTTATGATATTGTTTACTTATTTCATAAAAACTTAAATTATTATAATGTGAAAATAACGAACAAAAGTATGATTATAATAGAAAAAAAAAAAAGAAGTCTTCAGACAGCTTGCATAATTTATTTTTAAGTTCTTGTGTTTTTTTTGTTTCAACTATCGATGACCCGTAAGTTTATCGATTATTCACGCTCTCGTCAATGTCATATATTTTGTTTTTTTGTTGATGTGAGTTAAAAGTCTTTTAGATTGAGATGTTAGTAAGAATTTATCAATAGATTGTAAAGATGTAGATTGAACATGACTTGAATTTAAGAATTTTTTTCTATTGTTTTATGTTTCTTAAATAAACCCCCTACAGAATAGAAGTTCAGCCCCCGAGATTAGAATCTTCCGGAGAAAATATACATTCACTTCGTATGAAATAAACATAAATCAATGAAAAGTGCAAAAATATACATATTTCTATTAATTACCGGAAAAACTGTTCTCAATACAAGCTTCCTTCCAAACCTATAGCTTGTTGAATAAAGCCACCCTCTATGAGCTTCTATTCTGTTGCTCGGAAAAAATAGTTGAAAAAGAAATTCTTTTTTTCTTCTTCTTATAAGTGAAATCTTTATTTTTCTTTTTCGATCAATTTTTTTTTCTTCTTGAATGATAAACTCGTTGAACCATCGTCGGTTTTTATCAATAACCATTCATTGTTATCATCATTTCTTGAATTAGAAATAATAATCTATTATTCGTGATAAAAACAAGATCACAAAAAGGTGCTTACATAGTATTAGACGTTCGATTATAAATAACTTGATCATTTTTATTATTACTTTTTTGAGATTTTATGCATATATTTATTAATTGTCGTTATTTTCAATTTATTTGAATGATAATAAATATTTTAGATTTATTGTGATCTACTAAAATATATATGAAAGATCTTATAATCAATTCATTTAATGTCTTTTTCTTTGAGATCAAATGGTCTTAGACAATAGCCAATGCGACTGATTCATTAAAGCAACAGGTTTTCATCTATATTATTAAGTAAATCGATGTTAGTGAAAAGGAAGAAGAAAAAAAAAAAATTCTCTTTCGTTTCTTCTAGGTTCTTTCTTTATATCACATCTATCTTTTCTTTCTGTGCTGGAATAATAAAACAAGCGCCAAACACACTGACATAAACAAAGTCCAACAAGATCGATGGATAGTGATACTCTCAATGCAACAAGAGGACTTGTACAAGCTATTCTGACATTAACTACTGAACAGCGTCTATCGCCTAGTGTACAATCTTTATGTCAATATATTTATTGTAAGTTTTCAATAAATGATCAAGAAGACAATAATGGAACATGTAATGTCATAGCGGCAAGATCATCTTTAACAGAGGAAGTTCGACAACAAAAGCATTTACATTTTATTTTATTTGTGAAATATATAAAACTCTATATTTATCCATTACTTATTTTCATGGGTATATTTGGAAATAGTTTATCATGTTTTATTATGTTCCTTAATGTTCGTCGTAATGGATATTCAGCAAATCTCTATTTAGCCTTATTAGCATTTGTTGATTGTTTATTTTTGTTAGGTAGTGCATTACCTGATTGGATATCTCATGTACACGGTGAACTAGATATAAAACTTTTATCAGATTTATGTTGTCGTTTCGTTTATTGGTTTGGAAATTTTATAACCCATTTATCAGCTGGGCTTGTCGTTAGTATTACTGTTGAGCGTTTTATTGCAATACAATATCCATTGATTGCTCATAAGATTAATACTGTTAAACATACACATATTGTATTAATTATTTTAATAACTTTCTTCTTTTTATTGGATAGTCGAGTTTTTATTCTTGTTAAACATTTAAATGATAGCATACATATTGTATTAACTTGTTATAATGATACATATATTACATATGAAAGACGAGATATTTTACGATGTAGTGTAGAAAGTGAAGATAACAGACAAATATGGGTTTTTATTGATTTTGCTGTTTATACTATAATACCTTTTTCAATTATAATTACACTTAATTCTTTAATTATACATCGTTTAATTGGTGCACAACGTTTAAGACAACGTATGTTTCATCCGAAAAGTAAATCAGCAAAATATGAAGAACAAAGTTCAAATCGAAATATATCTGTCAGTGATCAAATAGTAACTGAAAAAAATCGACAACTAAGACGTTCTCGATCAGTTCCAGCAGCAATATTACCACCAATTATGTTTCGTCTGCAAAAAAGTAAGTCTTAAAATTCTTCAAAAAAAGAAATTTAATTCTATTTTTTAATCTCATATAGATCAACATTGTTTACGTTCTACTATGAAACAATCAAGTATATCAATTGAATCATCATTAGAAACTAAAATTCGTTCTCATTATCAATATGAAACTTCTCTTATACGTCAAACAACAAATATAAATAATATGCGTTTAACGATATTATTACTATTTGTTTCTTGTTCATTTTTAATTTTAACTTTACCAGCTGTTGTTGTCAATTTAATAATGACAACAAAAGTAAAACCAAAATTATCAACATTTAAAAATAATTTCAGTTTAACTGATGATAATTCAAATTCGGATACAAGTTCTTATTATACAATAGCACGTTTATTAATGATTGTAAATCATTCAATAAATTTTATACTTTATTTTGTTGTTGGTAAACGTTTTCGTCGTGATTTAAGAAATCTTTGTGTTAGTTATTGGCGAAGATAATATGAATGATGTTATTAATATTGAATTTCAAACTTTCGAAGAATTATTTTTCATTGATACATAAACAAAACAAAAAAATTAAAAAAAAAAAAAATTAAAATTTCGAATTAAAATAAGTTTTTACGTTGTTTTGTTCATTTAAATTGTGATATCGAAAATGAAATGATGTTTGTTCTCTTTTTAGTTTAATAAATGTTCGATAATTTGTTTTGCTCATAATTGTAAATGACATTGATCAAATTGGCAAAAAATTCATATATAAAATATCGCTTTTTTTTTCAATTACAAAGCAATCATATATCGAATAAATTTCTTTTTTTTTCTCACTAGAAACGATATTATGATAGAAAATATATTAAATTATCATTCTATAAATAGATTATTATGTTTATTGGCTATTTTAAGTTTAATTATACGTAGAAGAAGAATAGAATAGCTAAAAATGCTTACATGATTAAAATTTATTTTTGGTTCCGTTTTTTTTTTGAATCTTTCAAATTTGTCATTATTTTAGATGATAAAATGAATTTCGTCAATATCATTAGTAGGCCTGTGTTTCTATATTATTGTATTCTATTCTTTAATTAATAAGTGCCCAGAGACAATTTCCTGACGGTTTAAGCTTTTGTAACAAGATTGATCTTGTAAAAAAATAATTATCTATTCTAACTTTTATTCTAAGATGTTAGGCTCCAATATTATATGGATCGGATATCCTGTCTCCAAATAATGTATCATGAGAGTGGAAAAATGTATCTTGTTAACTCTCTTATTATTTGATTCTTTTTGTTCTCTCAAATGCATCGCCTAGTTTCCTTCCTCTCTTCTATTCATGCTTGTTATCGAACTGTTTCTTATTATACATTTTTTATTATTAGATTTAATTTAGTTCTTTTCTTTATCTTTATTTATCGTGAACTATTATCTATTTCAGTAAAGCAATATATTAATACTGTTTTACATAAAAATTTTTTCACTATATCCCAATTATATTAGAAGAGTTTTAAGTACTGATTCAACTACCTATAAAAAGAATATATATATGTCATCATGACTTCATAATTAATCAATCAGAATCATATGTAGAATTTTTCTTAGTTTGTTTTTTTCTTTCTAACATTGGGTTTACAATATGCTTATTATAATCTGAAAACATCTGTAATAACAAATGTTTCTATTGTTTTTTAAACTTAGCTTTCGGCTAAGTATTTTCAACTAATATACAAAGAAAATAGCTGTTCTATAGTTTCAGGTGATTGTTACTACTGCATGATTTTCTTGTCAGAACAACCGTCTACTATAACTATCAAGTCTTTAATATATTTATTTATTTAGATATCTACCATACGCATTTGAAACTTATCATATTTTTTTTGTTTATGTTAATATCTTCAGAACTATAAAAGGGCAGATAGTTTTTATTTCTATCTATATAGATCAAAATAGCTGCTATCGTAAGATTGTATATAAGACAAATACGAGACCTTTACATATAGAAGTAATTCATATATCATCATAATCTTAGACATAAATGATATCTTTTGAATTCAATGCCAGATATGAATATAGTTTTAAAAAATTCAATTAGCAGAAGATTCACTCTTCGGAAAATCCGCTTGGTGTCATTTTATATTAAATATGTATGACGCATTTCCAATCGAAAATTTCATCTTTTCTTTTAACTTCAGAATAATATATTTATAGACTGATGATGATGTTTTGTTATTTTAATAATAAACAACTGAAGTAATGAATTTGGTTGTTGAATTATTATTTAATTGTATTATTAGTGAACTTGATCGACGCTTTTGTAATCTTTGTTGATATTGAAAATGTGTGTATCATAAATTGAAGAATGACTGATATCTTCATTTATCAATAGAAGTTTGCTTTGATAAAATAAGATTATTTTATAATTTATGATTAAGTGATAAAGATAATCGATTATGCATTATATGAAATAACTAGAATAAACCAAAAAAAAAATGATTCTTTGAAATCAAGGTTTTGTTAACAAGAATGAAAGCGTACGAACCGGTAATCGATGGGAAAACTTCGGAAATTGATGAAACTTGAATGCAACCATATTTTTCTGCTGATTTCCGACTAAATTATTGTTCTTTCCGGCGAGAAACGACCCAAAGTTACCAAATAAATTCGATTCAAATACTTCATCCGAATTCCATCAATTTTCGAAATTTTCCTTTTCCGATAAGGTAATTATCTCGCATCTTTTCGTCATATTTCAGCAAAATCCATTGGTTTCCGAAGTTCAAAATCGTCCACCTGAGAACTTATAATTAGAATATACTCTGAACAAATCAGTTTTATTGTATTAATTTGATATAATATAAGAGAATAAATAAGAGAAGTTTTTCTGTGAAATAATTTCTATTTTCATTAAAAATCTAATTGACAATAATATGCTTTTGCACAGAAATCAAGACTATTTTCTAATTTTTTTTGTATCCATTATCAATGAATTAATAATTTCTTTACACTATTCCATTAAAACATTTTCTTGTTTATTATTACTTTAAAAAATATTTATATGAATGGAATACATAGAATGTCTATCTACTGTTAGGAAAATGTTCCAAATTTTATATTCGATGAATAAATGTCCGATTATTACTAACGTTGATGGTTAGAAGACTATCAAACTCATATGAATGACAAATATTATAAATTGTACAAATACAAAAAATTAATATTGTTATATTTTGCTTCGGTACTTATCCTATATAACTGATGATTATATTTATTATTGGTGGTTCATGTTCAACAAATTTTAAGATAGATCACCATAATATTTCGAAGAGATCTAAATACCTAGAATTAAATAGTACCAAAATCTTTTGGTCAAAAGCTTTAAAAAGAAAACAAATTGAAATAAAAAAAATGGAATATCTATCGTATAAAGACAATTTTTCTATTGAATCAAAAAAAAATGCACATATGATTCGAACTTAATCAAAGTAAAAGAAATATCTGTCTTGTTATTGATAAGACGTACTAGCCGTGTTAATTGTTCTTTTAATAATTTCTTTGGACGACCAGATCTAGGTTTGTCAGCAATAGGTATTAACAGAATGCAATATTGCAGCTAAAGAATATTTAATTTGTTTTAAGAATAATCCTATAGTAAGATTTCGACTTTTATGACGCAAACGTAATTATCAGACATGAATTTGAGAAAACAAATCTAAAAAAGAAAGATTTTTATTTGGTTTTCATAAAATTATTATAATAATAGAATTTGTAGTATATGTCGTTCACTTTGGCCTAATTCAATACAATAATCATATAACAACATTGTGCATGATGTTCCATATGGCCAAAGATAAATTATACTGTACGACTGTAATAGCATAAGCATATATTGTTGTTGTGAATTAACCATGAGTACGAAATCTATTTTCAATATTAAGTTGCTTGATATAAATATGTATAAATTTAATAAATAATTATATTATAAAACGCATTTTATTACTACTTGTTATATCTATTTATATAAAACAGCATAATATTAAAAATAGATTTCATACGTCTTCACTGAATATCAGTAAAAGCATACTTATTGCCTTGCCTATATAGGCTTCACATTGTAAATATTTTGAATATACACGTGCGTTTGAATAGACGTTTCCTATCAAAATTGCGATCAATGCATGTTTTACTATCATATATTTATATCACAAACATATCGCTGCCTACATTAAAAGAAAGAGAAAAAATATTTTTCGTAAATAATTCTGAAATAAAAATAACTTGAATGATTACCTTATTCGGGAGGACAGAAACATAGGTCTCTTTTAATCGTTACACTAACGATCATTTTTTTTTGCTGTAAAATGCTGTTAACTGCAATCCTTCTCGTTTCACTTACAGTGACACTCACTGTATATTTATGGACTTTGAAATCAAGCTATGATTATTTCAAAAGTCGAGGCATACCTGGTCCATTACCTAACTTTTTCTTTGGTCACTGTCGACTTCTGTGGTCTGTTGAGTCTATTTCTCGTCAATTGCAAACATGGACACATAAATTTGGTTCGATATATGGTCTTTTTGAAGGCACTCGCCCCATTTATGTTGTGTCAGATCCTGAATTTCTTCAGGAAGTTTTTATGAAACAATTTTCATCATTTCATTCACGACATATGGCTTTTGTTGTTCGAATGACAGCTCGAAACAAAATGCATTTGTTTATTGCCAGTAGCCATCAATGGCATCGTCAAAGACTCGTCATTAATCCAACATTTTCGGCTGCAAAACTCAAACTTATGACAACTTTGGTTAATGAATGTATTGAAGCATTTATGAAGAAATTGTCTGAAAAATGTGAAGAAAAAAAAGAATTTAATATTTATCTAATTTACAAACGACTGACTATGGACGTGATTTGTGAGTAACAAAAAACTGAATACAGTAGTATTTCGAGATAGACTATGAATTTCACAATTCACAATTAATCCTTCTGAAAATAGTTTTGAGATTTTCAAGAGCTACAAAGATTTAAACTGTTTTTGCTTACTTTTATTTTAGGTCGATGCGCATTTGGAGTCAATACAAATATGCAAACGGATATAGACAATGAATACATGCATAAAGCTGAAATTCTTACACAAGAAAATCTCGAAAAACATCCATTGATTCGATTGAGTTATTTGATGCCATGGCTTATCCCCATACTTTCCTATATTGTTATTGGTCAAGCTATGTTTATGCAGGTTCTACATAGATGGAAGAAAAATGTTGAAGAATTGCCGCGATTTTGGTTTACAAATCGTTTACGTCATGTAGTCAGTGCAAGAGCATCGTTAGATGAAACAAAACGTCACATTGATCTTCTTCGATTGATGCTCGATGCTGCAACGTCAAATGAGATCAAAGTCAGTGTATCTATTTCTTAAGTTGCAATCAATTTTTCAACGTACCTATCACATAGGATGATAATAATACTGATACTATTCCGAAAAAGCTTCAATATGAAGAAGTTATTAGTAATGTATTTTTGTTTATGATTGCTGGTTATGAAACAACATCGACAGCACTTACCTATTGTACGTATATTTTGGCAACACATGCTAATGTTCAAGAAAAACTTCGTGCAGAAATCGATGAATGTCAAGACAAAAACGAAAGTGACTATGATCGAGTTCATAATATGATCTATCTAGATTCTTTTATACGAGAAGTTTTACGAATGTTTCCCATTGCACCTAAAGCTATATCAAGAGAATGTAATACAACAACGACTGTTTGCGATTATGTCATAGAAAAAGGTTAGTTGAATTCTTTGAAAATAGTATTCTTCATTTAAATAGAACATACTTGTTTAGGAAGTGTTATTCAACCAGATATGTTTTCGTTGCATTACGATCCAAATTTATGGGGTCCTGATGATCCTAATTTATTTATACCTGAACGACATTTGACTCGACGACATCCAATGGCATACATGCCATTTGGTCAAGGTCCACGCAACTGTGTTGGAATGAGATTTGCTCTAATGGAAATTAAATTGTGTTTGACTCGTCTTCTTCATCAATACATCATCTTGCCTGGTGATGAAATGGAACAAAAACTCAAACCTCGTGAAGTACATTTCATTTGTCAGCCAGAAGCTCTCTATATCAAACTTGAAAAACGTTTTTGAATTTGTTTCTTTTTATTTTTTCAAATAAAAATCAATATTTCTTTTTATTTCAAAAGAGGTTTTCTTGATTGATGGTGGTGAAAATTGACGAAATATTGTATTAAGGACAATGATTGCTTCGACAATGTCATTGCATCAATAGTTGACATGAAATTCTTCTCAAGCTGATATCTGTCTCGTCTTAGCTTGTCATCTCATCAATAGAAAAGCATTTAGAAATATCATGGTATAGCTACGTTCTAGAATTCGGTTACTAGAACGCGTTTTGAATGAGTTACGAGTCTTATCAGGTGGGTTTAATTCTACATGATTAATTCGAATAAAAAACAGAAAAAATGAAAAACTTCGCCTCTACAAACTGTTGTCTTTAGATCATGTGTGGATTTCAGACATAAAAGAATTTTTTAGCTTATGCTTTAATAAAGACCGAGAGAGTGTTCCAACAGCGTCGATTAGATCTCATATCTTTATGGATGAAACGAAAAATCGATTAAGTTTTATTTCTTTTTCTTTGTGAAGAACTTCGTGAAATGCAACATATTTTGGGTTGTAAATGTTTGAATATGAGTATGAGCGAAGATAAAATCCACACCCACATCCTCGTTTTCCCTATATTGTCCCGAATCTTGCTTATCCTGTCACAAGAAAGCTTTCGAGACAATCAGGCTTGTCCCTCAGGACCCTATCAAATTGTCTATTTTCGTTTTGGTATCTGAACGATATTCATCAGATGCATTTTAAAAAAACTTTTTTGTAGCATGACGGTGTGGGTGTGCATATACCTGTGGCTGTGTGCAGAAATAAGGATGTGAAAAAGATATACATTCACACCCACACCCCACACTCATAGTCGCCCACACTACTATCTATGAAAACAAATTTTAAATAATATTTTGTCTTACGAATAGTGTGACACCCTTTTCGTATAACCACATTCGATCTTTTTTTTTCATTTTTCAAGAAACTGCATTAATACATCAAAAAGTAATGGCACGTGTAATTCTATTATTGTTTCAAAACTGACGGCAGAATGACATCAAACTAATGCACACGTCATAGAAAGTTTTGTTGACAGCGAAAGAAAAAAGGTGTTGTAAACAAAGCAGAATGTAATGTAAACGAATCAGTTATTTTTTACCAACATCGTTAAAGCATACTACATTAGCCATGAGAAAAATAATTGGTAGAAACAAAATTGACATTGATGAAATTACTTGTCCTATTACGAAGGATATTTTTGTTGATCCAGTTATGGCAAACGATGGCTTCACTTATGAACGAGCAGCAATTACTAAATGGATTTTGGAAAATGGTACTAGTCCATGTACAAGAGAACCATTAGACTCGGATGATTTACTACCTCATGATCGTGTTAGAGTTTTAGCTAAAAAATATCGAAATACAAAGTTATGTGGAAAAATCATACAATGTTGCCACTGTATTAGAACACCAAAAGACAATCATCTATCCGTAGACAATCGACTATGTTCGAAGAATATTCGAAATTGTTTCATCATATGTATATACTTATTAATTATTATAGCTGGTCTTATTATTGTAATTGTAGTCGTTAGAACTAAATTTTATTCAGCAGGTATTTAAAATGACACTATACTTATTTATTAGAAGCTTTGTCACACTTCGTGCTCGTGCATGCTGTATAGGTGTTTCTTTTGTTAAGCGCTGTCCTTTAAGTGCTACGCCCCTGTTCTTGTGCCCTATTCCTCTCTGTCAGACAGTATACACTCCTCCTACTGTTGGTGGTTCATATTATATATTCTTGCGACTATCCCTCTATCTTTTTAGAGAAGTATATAATTTGAGAACGAAACATTTCGTTAATCATTAACTCTTCACCATTAACCTTTAACACTGATATGTAACAGATAGACAATCGGGTTTTATTATAGTGGCATAGATAACTTCTATCGCACTATTTTCATCCCAAAATTGTAGAGTTTGGATATATGTCGAAATTATTTTCAAAGATATGAGTTGTTTCAATCAGTTAATAAAAATATTTATTTTACAACTCTTCAAAAGATAATATTCTATTAAATTAATCGAGCTTTTGCAACCAGCAAGTAATAAATTTGCTTTTATAGCGAGGAAAATCATAATGGCTTTAAGATCGTATCAAACATGAATTGATCAGTCAAGAAACAGTAATCTAAAGCGAATTATGCTTTGGCTGATCAATATTAAAACTCTAAAGTGACTGTCTAGAAAACTGTTGAGAATAGAGATGTCCCTTGTCGTACCATCCATTTGTTTTCTAGCGTCTCTATTTCTGATGCTCTTTGACTATTCTAAGGTACATCCCTCTACGCTCCTTCATTTTATCAAGTCATAGCTGTCGATACTAAAAAGAAACAGTGTATCAAACTGTGCTTTAGAAGACAAGATGTAGTTGTATACAACTCTGAGTAAAACTATACCTTGTATCTGATTATTCATCATTTGAATTATAGATGAGCATCATATCGACAATTGTTTAAAAATGAAATTAGTTAATCTTCTATGATCTATATTTATTCTATTGAATATGTTTAGAAATTATTGTAACATGCAACTATTCTGGAGTGATTACAGTGAATAGTTCAATATATTCTGTTAATAGATATGACAGATATAGATATGAAAACATGAAATATAGATATGAAGAAATTCAAGTTATTGTATCAACTTCTGGTTTCTATAGATTTGAATGTAACAAAGACGATTATCCCTATTTTGTTTACATTGGGACCATTGACTTATATATGAATAGTTTTAATGCTACAAACTTATCAATGAATCGATTGACATATACATATGGCAGCGAAGGAATTCATAGAAGTTCTTTTGGTGTTCCGCTTCGATCTGCTAATTATATCTTAGTGGTTAGTGCCATTAATAATTTTGAAAAATCATTTTCTATTTGGATTACTGGTCCAGCAAAGGTTACTTTCTCTTGAATAATATATACACTAACAAGTATTTCCAGTTCATGTTGCTATCACGTGACAAATAAATTTATATGATAGCTGATTGATAAACACTATGTTGTATATTTGACGATTTTTCGATGTACTATTTTCATTCTAATTATTATTATTCATAATACTTCCACAAAAATTAGATGAGATTTGTACACAAACAAATAAGATATTCCCTACAGTTAGCGTATGTTCAATAGATGGTGTGTTCCTTTCTCTTCGCTTTTCGTCATCTCTTTGACATGTTTTGACGTATTTCTTAATTTTACTTAAACGGTGCTATTGCACAGTTGGAATAGAAGACAGAAGGGATCATCTTCTCCTTCTCTCTTTCTCCTTCTTCTCTTGCATAAAAATCGTTTTTTTTAAGTAAAACCGTATTATTAATCTTCGAAAACTAAACATTTCCTTGGCTATCGACCAGACCGTAACGTCATATTGCAATGCGTAACCGATTACGTAAACATACAACTCAATATTGACCGTTGCATGGCACTTCATCAACAACACTTCGAAAAACAAATGAAAGTTTTTCAGCAGGGAATACTAGTATTAGTGAAGTTAATTAATAATAACAACAACAACAACAACAAAATAGTTTGGCACAATTGAGTAGCAATGTGTATTCATTAGCATCTGTACCTGGTATTGGGAAAGAAGAATAAACACTCAAATGTAGAGGACAAGAGTATGAAAGACATTGCCCAATAAAAAGAATGATTGAAAGTGTCAATGATGATAAATGTTCATTGTACCCGAGGTCCAAGAAATTCGTGCCGTAAGCGGACTTAAACAATATGAAATGAAGAAAGACAATGAAAACTAATGCAGTCATACGCCGAGTGTGAATGTGCGTATGTGAGCGAACAAAAAAACATATACTTACAACTACACCCTTGCGCCAACAGCACCCGCATCATTTATATTACCTTTATATGAACACACTCAAAGGAAAGCGAACGTACAGAGAGTAAAAATTAGACTGTCAGAGATATTTACAGGCCGCCTCTGAACTGTTTTTAGCGAAAGAGTATGAAATTTACTGGCCACTGGAACATAATCATCTTCAGGGGTATCCCAAATTCACCGGCCTCCAGTGGCGTAACCTTGGGTACGGTCATTAAGCAATTGCCCAATGCCGAAAACTCTTGATATACATAAATGCACAAAAGACCTAAGTGATGTCATTTTAACACATTTTATGTTCTTGCCATCTAATCAATTTTATCACAAAGATCAACTGACTATTTTTTCCATTAGACCGATGCTAACAATAATGACAATACAATGGTATTTTGTTAAGAATTCGTTGTTCCATATAAATTCATTTATGATTTTATTTGTGTTTATTAATACTTTTTGGCGTAATATATTCAAATATTTGAAAATTGAAAACTACATTTCTAAAACAAATAGTACGAAAAAAGCGAACGAATTCGACTGTTAGTTGATAGTAACGAACTTCTCTTCAATAAAAATCGTTTTTTCTATAGTAATAAGTTTTTAAAATATTATCACCTAGTTGTTTTTTATTTACCCAGTGATGCCTACTCCTTAAGATAATTTAGCTGAGAAACGATCCATGACTTAAAAATTCTTGGCTACACCACTGTCAACTTTAGAAAAATATTCGTGTTTTCTCTGCAGAGACTTGATGAAGTTTTTTCGTGTTACATCTAAAGTCTTATCTAATTGTGTACTGCATTTACTATGGTGAAAAAACGTTTTGCGTTTAAAAGCTGCGAGAAAGACACTTTTGACCTCTTCCCTAACTTTTTGTCACTTGGGGCACTCCTGATATTGCCTATATATCGTGTTTTTCGTAAGTGGAAGAAGGGCTATAATATCTGATATACATAGAATAAGAACTAAACAAGGTTAATTTGTGCTGCCTTCATAAGAATATATGGTTCTTGAGTCGAACCTTCAGCTGATATAAGAACGAAATACTTTAGAACTATTAAGTTTATCATTCCAAACAATTTTTGTATTGAGAGAACCTTAAAATTATTTAAGGATCTGCAAAAATGTTTTGACGTATGAATGTATATATATCACGATATACATATATACTTCCGTTCTTTAACGAACACACGAATATTTAGTAATGGAAGTTGCTCAGCACATGACCCTCCTTTCGGTAGAGGAAATAACACTATTTGTGTTATATATAATCATACAGCGTTACTTGTTATATCCAATACTATCACCTTTTTGGAAAAATAATGTTAAACTGCATCAGAATGAAATGCTCAAAGATCTTTGATTTGATCTATTTTATTCGCTATAACTTTTCCAACAGATATAGAAGAGGATGGTTTCGTTTTGGAGAACGCCATATTTTTGAAACTTCTCAACTCAAATGAGTTCATTAAAACTTAGTCTTCTTTTCTGAATGTAAATATAAGATCGGCAACCTAATCCGACTTACTCATAAAATCAAGTTTGTTTTGAAAAGCGTTTTTAAAAGGCATCCTGTTGTAATTCTTTAGTACGTTGAATATGAATGAATAAATTCGGCAGATGATATATCAGTTGTAGAGATCAAGATCAAAAGTACAACGATTTGCAAAAGGACAGAGTTGGCAACTGTGAATTGCATACGAACATCCTTATATATTACAGTATGATTGGTATTTAGGATTCATTTCTCATGTTCCTCTTCACATGTTTTTAATACTGTATGCTCATAAGCATATCGTGCATTGTTTGAAAACTAAAACTTCTTGTGATTGATCTTATATTTGTCTGTTGTTCATGAAATTTGCATTTTGTTTTTTTTCTAATGTGCATGTATGTAGTTCATTTCCTTTTCATATACACTTAGTAAATGAACTGTCTTTTAATAAAAAACAGAAGGATGCTACTCGAACAAATAAGCTCTTTCTAAAAAATGTTTTTGAGCTGGACGTCCAGAAGATAGAAGGCTAGTTAAACTGAATAGGATGAAAGTGTCCGAAGTACGATTTTCATCTGTACGATCTTTATGGATGATTCCTAAAGACTATTCTCCAACTCATGACTTCTATACAATAGAATTATAAAATGAAAGAGAATATAATAAGGGTTTCTTTTTGTAGAAAGAAAATAGCTTATCTTTTAGACTCTTAACGCACAAAAATCCACATGATAAGAATCCACCTAATAGCTAGATGACTCTCGTAAAAAATTTTATGCGCTAATACACAATAGAAGATTCGTGATGTTCTGAAATCATGGGAGAATTATTTGATTGACTCGTTGGTTAGATATCGCACTGTATCTTTCGTGCACACTGCATTGTGTTGAATGCTCTCTGGTAAAATAGTCTGCATCTATGGCAATAATTTGACACCTTCTTCCACTATGTTCCGTGATATACCATATGAGTCAAACATGCCTACTTCTGATAATAAATATTGCAAGTCTGCAAAGAAAAATTACTTCCAGTTTTGTACACAATATTACAGTTCTTATTGTTGGCTAACGCTTAACTCAGAGAGAAATAGTATTGTCTATCAAAGGCATTTGAAACCTCACGATTGTACATTAGTCTTTGTCTGAGATAGTTCAATATTCATATATCTATTTAGAACGCTTGATTAAAGTGCGTCAAAAGTAAGCGAAAGATGTTGTGTCATATATTGGCAAATTGAAATATTTTCATTCCAAAGAAAATGTTTATACAATATCCCTGATTATGCTTACAGTAACTTGATAGCAAAATAAATCGCAATAGTTGTCACCATAATAAATATTGGTATCGTTCGAAAAGTTAAAACACCGCAAGAGGCATTTTTAGTGAGAAAAACTTGATTAGAAACACAATACCTAGATAATATAGAGTCGAATGAGAACATAGTTTACTTCGGTATATCTACCCATAACAAGTCGATAAACTGCAAGCTCTCAAGCCGTCATAGCATGCTGATAGACATGATGAAGAGGTGCATCTACTTGAATATGCCGTACCAACATAGGTCTGATCTTTTTGATAATAGCACATACAGATGTAACCGAGGCTTGTTTCAGTCAACAAGAAGATAAATACTATAATCATGGTAATGTTCGGCATAGTTATCGAGACCGTCGAAATAAAAAGGTAGTAGCTCGTCACTATAGAGAATCTATAAGTTTGCCTTAGGCAGCTTCGATCATTTATATAAGAAACATTTTTTTTCTCTCTATTCATGTTATTTGTTTTGAATATGAAGTGCAATATTATTTCTTTTCGCCCTTGGTCTCAAAACCAGCACATTGCCATATTTTTTGAGTCACTCACTGCTTTGTGAAATATTTTTCGACACTTAACATCAACTGCGAAATGCATTATATGAAGACCAATATTGTTTGAAAGATGAAATAAAAATATGCAAAGTGACATTATTTTGCATCGCTTTCGGACCCTTGCACAAAAAATTGTTGTGTATACAGCATGATTCATTTATTTTCACTAGTTCTATGTGACTTAATATGTCACTGTGAAAGCTGTGGTATATTTTATTTTTATATAGTTGAGTAGAGCATCTACTTTTTATCTAATCATATATTTTGTATCTGATCTATTCTATACTGTGACTGAAAATTTTAATGAATTTCCAACAGTAGTCGAAACAATGTTCTCCTTGTTTTTTCTCAGCTAGTTTATGAGTCTGTGAAAATAAATCTTTTTCCATTGAAAATGTTTTTACGAAATGTCCATTTTTTTCCTACCTATATTATTTCAGTTTAGTTTAGCACTACGTTTGTACATGCATGAGAATTCTACATAAGATTTCAAAACGTCGAGCGTCAAAGTGTCGAAAAATAAAACATGGAATGAAAAAAATAATGGCTTGGCTTATCTGGTAATACTGAAAACGTACTGTTGATTAGTCAACGTTAATAAAAGCACACTTGTTATTAGTAAAGAAGTAAAACGTTCGATGAAGATATTTTTTTTTACTTTATTTTTTTAAGATTTTGACACTGATAAACGTAAAAGAGCAGATAACAGTACTGGACATCAGCATGAATGGCACCAATACAGCAGATAATAGATGTTTGGATTAAATAAGTATCAAAAGCAGACTAATAGTTCTTTTTAAAAACACTCACCGATTTTTTTCCTGGTTTTTCTTAGACAGTATCTGCTATGAAAGATACATCAAAAAATATTAAAGATCTATTATTTCGATGTATGAAATGCGAAGTTAACTTTGTTTCTAATCTTCTATATTTGTTACGCCAAGATCTTGCTGATATACAATCTATATGCTGTGGAAGTAAAAGAAAACTAATGATACGGGAGGAATTTATCTAAAGATATAAAACGGTTGTTTCTTTTGACTACATAGTTAGTAATATTTTAATTCATTTGTTTAGATATTGCAACACTAATATGGATAGAATATCATGTTTCATCAAATTTTAGCGGTATGCAATAAAAGTCGAATTTTGTAGCCCGTTTGAAATAACTTGATAGATTAGTAAAATTAACAATAGCCAAAGGTATTTAATCATTATGTCTATGTTCTAAGATAAATGCTTTCGTTGGTTTTATAATAAAAAAAAAGACTTCTTTAATATGTAAAAATGTGGTTTGCCGCATTATTTACACCATAAGTTTATCTTACAACAACATGCCAATGTGCAGCTCAATCATTACGTGTCCCATTGGAAGAACTCGCTATGTAGGTGAAAATATTTGATCAAGCATCAAAAGCAGATTCGAATAAAAAAAATGTTTTATATAACATATTATACTATTTAAAAAAAAAAAAATTTCCATTCTCTAAAATTTAGGTTTGAAAACGTATTGTTTTACTTAAGTTCAATTATGGATGCTTTTCCTCTTTTTGACAATTGAATAGAAAGTGTCTAATAGTGCAATACTATCACAAAAAAACGAATAATCAACAAGAAGTAACTCTTTTGGTCAATAGCGTAGCCAGAAGCAGGGCGATTGGACAATCGCCTACAAATTCAAAAGTAATTGTCCACGGATTTTTTTTTGAAATGATGCCAATAGCTCAACGCCAACAAATCTTGATACACATACCTATACAAAAATCCGAGTGGTATCATTTTAACACAGTCTATCTTGTTATGATCTAACCAAATGATGAAGAAAGATCAGCTGACTATGTGTTCCGGTTTCCTGGAGTGTGGGTATCGATGTACGTTATCGGTTGAGGATGTTTGCGTGGATTTGGGTGTTAGTCTTCCTTTAGCTCTCGGCCACTGTTAGGGTTCGCGCTCACGAAGAGCGACGAATACAATAACGACGTGTTTTCTTCTCTCTCCCTTTATTCTTTTAGAAAAACAGTGTTTATATACACACATGAGAAAACAAGGACAAAACAAAAAAGAATAGAAAGGTTAATCAAGATCAAAGAAAAGAAGCAACAGAAACGAAATAAAGAAATGACCCAAGAGAAGAGAATAGAGAGGATCGAGGTATATGCTATAAGAATACACTGTAACAGTCACATTCTGATCGACATCGACATCCTTCACCCACATTAACACTATACCACCACCCCCTCCTTTTTTTTATCGAATATCTATGCATCAGTGACCCGTATTCATTTGTATGTTCGTTGGTGACGTTGATGGGGTAAGATTGACAACATGATATCGATAAAAATTGGAAGAAAGATTTGTTTGTTGAGAAGAACTGACCTTAATATCAATGGAAGGTAATCTTTCATGACGCCAGGTTTTTATCAAATTCTCTGAATATGTTATTTCCAGTTTGTTGTTATGTAATCAAGCACATGTACAATCAGAAATTTTATTCAAACTTACTGTTACAATTTTGCTTGAAATCATTGTCTACTTCCGTTTTATTACTTCATATGATTCTTTTTTCTTAATTTTAACCTGCACATATGTAATAGTATGTGTTTAATAAAATTTCTTCTTTCATTTGCTAGATAATAATCATTTGCCAAAATGTTCGTTTTTTATGTGTTCGACTACTTTTTCTTGTCCAAAAAGAAATTAAAACATTTAAGGAATGAAAATATTTTCTTTGCTCTTTTTTTCTGTCCTTGTCAAGAATGTGCATGATTTTTTATAACCAATTGTGTATATGAGGGCGTGACATTTTGCAACGACGGAATATGAGACTGTTTTTATTCTAAGTAGTACTTAATTCACTTCCTTTTTGTGATTTTTGTCTTTGTTTTTCATTGGATAACATATAAAAACTTGAAAAATTTTTTCTTTTCATCTTGCATGATTATATATCTGACATTATGTACTATTGTTCATCAATTTATACAAAGAATATTTACTGTTTCATAAATTTCTTCCTTTTCGCTTAAAAAGTTGCGTAATACATATGCTTTTATTCTCACCACCTTTTTTCAAAGGAATATTTAAAGCAAACAATGAATTCTTTTAGATACGACAAAAAAAATGTTACGTCAACGATTATTTTTTCTCTATTTATTTATCTTATTTACTGGCATTTTTGCTTGGAAATATGATTCTCATATTCAAAATGGTGACACTGAACATGATGATAAAAACAAATTTCGGTTCGAAAATCCAAGTCAACCATCATTCGATAATAATAAATATGAAACCAAACTTTTCCCTAGCAAGACAGTTAATAATGATGGTTATCAACAACCAAATGCTGACCAATTTCTACCACAACGATCAATTGATTCATATCGCCAATCATCATCGACACCACTTGCTAGTAGTAGTGAATGTAAATATGATTTGAAAAAATATTGCAATAAAGGAAGTCAAAAATTAATTTCGAATTTAAAAGTATTACAATGTGTTGATGATCTTGATAAGGTAAATTTTTTTTTGTTATTAAAATAAATTATTTATATATATATATATATATTATAACTATAGGCTGCGAATTTAATTAGCAAAGAATGTCAACATGTAACTAGGAAAGTTCTTTTCTTTTTCTATATTAAATTAATGGATTTAATTTAATTTTAGCTTATCTATAACTTTAAATATAATATGACACATTATCCACTTTTTGATGAGGCAGTTATAAAATATTGTTCAAACGATATAACATTATCTCATGAATGTGAATCATTTGCTGGTGTACATGGTTCTGGTCGTCTTGTAATATGTTTATATGACCATTTACCTAATATAACTGATCCAACTTGTCGTTATTTTATTAATCAAGTGCAAGTTGTTGCTTTCAATGATTGGCGTTTAACAGAATATTTTGTTGAGGCATGTAAACCTGATATTGGAATATTCGAATGTGGTCGATTAGATGATGATAATCAAGCTGTATGTATTTAATGAATAGAACAAGAAAAAGAAAATGTTGCATATCTTTTAGATACTACATGAACCAGGAGCTGTTATTTCATGTTTATCACAAAAACATAATCTGCTAGCTCCACAATGCCGTAAAGAAATTTTTCGTTTAGCTGAAATGCAATCGGATGATTATCATCTTGATCGCGCTTTGTATTTTGCATGTCGTGATGAACGAGAACATTTATGTGGTTACGTTGCAAGTGGTAATGGTCGAGTTTATCGTTGTCTTTATGAGCAAACATCTAATTACATGATGTCGCCAGCTGTAAGTTATTAAGATTATTTTTCATGATACAAAATCTTTTGATCCACGAACTTTAATAGTAAATAAATAATTTAGTCGGTTAGTTTTTCTTATTCTGAGAACTGAACGCGTCTGTATAGTTACATGAATAATAACAACCTCAGTAAGGTGGACAATAAATGTTCTATAATGGACGAGCAGAACGAGAGAAAAGAAAGGATTTTATGATAAGCAATTCTGGAACACACAGCAAAAGTGGATGAACTAATCGTGCATATTTAAAAGTAAAAAAAAGTAACATTAGATGATAGTTGTAACAACGAAATGTGGTGGTTTGTCACCATTCTGCCAGGGTTGACATGTAACGACAAACTGGATTGAGTAGCTTGCCGCCACTCTTGGCAATGGCTATTTATTCAGCTACTTTACACGTCCAGAATGTGTCTACTCTACATATAGCACATATATATATACGAGAGAAAATGAGAGAGAGAGATGAACATAGATTAGAGCAATGGAGAGAGAAAAGGAAGAAAAATCATCGGAGCGTGCCATCAATATCGGCACAATAGTAAAAGTTCTTGGTGTAACATATCATAGTTTTCATTTTAACAGCTAGTGACATCAAGTTATGTCAATACGCGTTGATTTATCTCTGGTTAAAAAGCATTGTTGGAAAGAAGAAAAATCATCTTGCACAACCAATAAGCAATTATAACTGAATACAGTATCCTAAAGTCTAGGGATATTTTAATGTGAATACTCCAAGGAAGGGAACGATTATATTACGAGAATGGATTTAGTTTTAAATCATGTGTATCTTCGTTCAGTGATACAACCATTATTTTTCACATTTCTAGTCCCACTGATAATTTCACCTAGTTCAATAACTTCATGCAAAATATCTAAGACAACAAAAAGAGTTAACATATTCAAGTGTGTTTATTGGTTTTAATTAAATGTTTGAAAGTAACATCGAAGTATTTATAGAAATGGTGAATATAAGTTTCATAGTGATTTTCGAGCCCAAAATGTTCGGACCTGGTCAAACCGTACTTTAGTACTCTCAATGAAATTTCTAATCGAAATTCGATAGTTGCCCAAAGACAAGATTTGTATTCGGTGACTAAGGGCATTCAAGACATTTGTCAGGCGACAGTGTCTCATCGGATTCAGCATTTTTTATTGCAGACTATCAGCTGATATACTGTAGTGACGCCTCCCGTTGACGTTTCAAGAGTAGGCAATAAAACTTGATAATCCTTACACCATCAAATAGTGAAAGTCTTTCTCTACTAGCCTACGGATATTCCATTTGTGGATCAAAATCATAGCGTCGTCTTTATTTGATGCAGATGTAAAGTCAAAAAAAATTCAAATCTAATCAAAAATACTGATCTAGAAAGTTCTATGTTTGATATTTTGTTAATTAAATTTGTAGCTGAACAAATAATTCAGATAACTTATTTTAGTGTCGTAAAGAAGTTCGTCGACGACAATCATTAGTAGTTGCAAATGTAAAGACGGATGCACCATTAATTCGAGGTAAAAAATCTAACGTTTTGAATGTAACAAAAAAAAACAACACAACTAATCAATATTTCTTTCTTAGCATGTAGTAATGAAATACATGAATATAATAAATGTTCTGTTGATCCTGATGAAGATGATCAAAAATCATCATTAGTTAAATTACTTTTATGTCTTGAAGAAATATTAAAACTAGGTAGAAATTCATGAATAAATTTTTCATGAAAAACAATTATTTCGATTTTCATATTCTTAGGTAATAATGTTCAAGATGAATGTCAACGTGAAATGCTTGTTCATCGTCGTATGTTAATGTCTGATTATGCTCTTTTACCAGAACTACAAAGTCAATGTAATAATGAAAGGATACAATATTGTCCATCATTATTTCAACAAGGTGCAAGTGGTACAATAGGTCAACGTGATGGTCGAATGATTCATTGTTTATTAGCTGCTGCACGAAAAGAAAAGAATTTTAGTAATCGATGTCTATCAGTTGTCAATTCATTAGTACGTGCAGTTGATCCCGGTAGCGATATACGAGCAGATCCATTACTTGAATCAACATGTCGACCTGTTATTGATATATTATGTCCAAGAGTGAAACCTGGTGATTCAAATGTTATTTTATGTTTATTGGATAATTTAAAAAATGCTCGTATGACAGAAGATTGTGAAGATCGTCTTATGGAAGTAGCTTACCTTTTAGCAAGAGATTGGAGGTAATAAAGAAGCAGAAAAACAAACAACAATTTGATTTTATTTACAAAATTTTTCTTTTTCATTTAATAGATTAACACCAAGATTATTACGTACATGTCAAACAAGTCTTGTAACATTTTGTCATCTTCCAAAAGATTGGTCAATGAATCAAGATATCAGTGGTGTTCAAGTTGGAATGTATTTAGGTTGTTTATATCAACAACGACAACAAGTATTTAAAAAAAAAAAGTTTTTTAAAATTATATTTCATCGTTTATTATTTAGCTTGATAGAAAATGTCGAAGTGAATTAAAACGTATTATGCATATTCGAACACAATCTATTGGTTTAATGCCTGAAATTGAAGATAATTGTTTAGCAGATTTGGCAATATGTAAAAATCCAGAAATTAAAGGAGAAGTAAGAAAAAACTTAAAATATAAAGAATATATAGTAAAATTTCTCTAATGTGAACATTGTCGGGATCGACGTAAAGCGATTATATTAGAGAGAGAGACAAGCAAAAATAAATTTTATTATCTTCGATTAGTTCATATTGTAATAAATCATGATAGTTACTTTGACAGCACGAATCGTATATTTTATTCAAGTGGCGTCCTTTATTGACGTTCACATTCAGAATCAAGGAGTGTTCATGCAGGAAGGATTGAAACCAGAAAAAATTGATTCTGAAGGATCCGAGAGTGTTCACAGTAATAGAGTTTTACTGTACTATCTTTCTTTTATCATTTCGAATGTAATCGATTTCTTTGATAATAAATTTTGAGCACATTTTCACACTGATGGGTGTAATTTACATATATATAGCACTGTGTGAAGATGAAGGCGCTGTGATTAAAGCGAAGATGTACCGTTTTATTTTTCGAAGAGGTAAATTAAAACTTCAGGAAGACGAACATATGTATATTTTTCGGAGTACAGACACATAGTGTGATACAAAACGTCGGAAGGACTAGTTCAATAATTGAAAGGACGCCGCTTTCATGCTGGATGAAATACAAGTTATTGAGTATTGACATATCTTTGAGTTCTTTTTTCTTTTCTTTCGATTCGACACAGTTTTGTCAGTTTTACTTATAAAATCGATAGATTTGACCTTCAATAATAAGCCAAATAGTTAATGAAAAGAAGTCGTAACTAGACATCGGCGTGATCAACATTTTTTGGTCACGGTCACGATCAGTTTGGTCACGGTTACGGTCACGACCGTTGCCATCGTGACAGTGACCGTGAGTCACGGTATCTACGGCAGTCTCTATACGAACGACTATTTTCTTTTTTCTCAAAATAGCATACCCTTCTCTTCCGATACGAGGTCCCTATATTAGAAGGCTTTCCATAATAGAAGACCCCCTTGGAGAAATACGTGCGACACTTAGTATAAGATCTTATTCAATTATCGAATTTTTCGAAAAATGACAACTTCAACCACTGGATTTTCATAATAATATGCTTAGTTTTCAGAGTTTTCAGCTGAAAAATTTAACTAAGTGTTTTCAACATTTTATCTAGACTTTTAAAATCCGAAAAATTCCTTCTCAAAGCATCAAAATCGCTTTGACTTTCTGAACAATNCTTTTTATTTCAAAAGAGGTTTTCTTGATTGATGGTGGTGAAAATTGACGAAATATTGTATTAAGGACAATGATTGCTTCGACAATGTCATTGCATCAATAGTTGACATGAAATTCTTCTCGAGCTGATATCTGTCTCGTCTTAGCTTGTCATCTCATCAATAGAAAAGCATTTAGAATATCACGGTATAGATATGTTCTAGAATTCGGTTACTAGAACGCATTTTGATTGAGCTACGAGTCTCATCAGGTGGGTTTAATTCTACATGATTATTTCGAATAAAACATCGAAAAAACAAAAAAAAATTCGCCTCTGCCAGCTGTTGTCTTTGGGTTTTGTATGGATTTCTGACAAAAGAATTTTTTAGCCTATGCTTTGATAAAGATCGAGAGAGTGTTTCAACAGTGTCGATTAGGTTTCATATCTTTATGGATGAAACGAAAAATCGATTAAGTTTTATTTCTTTTTCTTTGTGACGAACTTCGTGGAATACATCATATTTTCCTTCTTGTTTATTTTTTCTTGAAGTTTGTTTTCTTGTCTTTTTAGCAAGATTACGACGGTTCTCAAAGTTTCATTGTTCGCAGTAAAACTTCACAGGAAATTGTCAATCAGTAATTGTGAAGTTACTTGCAGTAAGATTGTTATGCTGTAGTCTGTAGTCTTGTAGTGAACAGTAGTCGGTACCGAAGTGTTCTCTTTTTGGCAAAAATTGTAAGTTTGGTTAAGTTGTGCATATCAGTCACTCGGTCTTGATAATGGCGAGAATTTGGATTTGGATCGTTCGTGAGCTTCTGAATAAAATTCTAAATAATGCGCTCTTTATTTTTCCATATCTCTTGCACTATTATCGAATCCAAAATAAATGAGGAAAACAAGTTGAAATTCAATTAGAAGAATTCTAATGGCAGTCTAAATCATAAGTTTTTCATGAATGAACAGTGTCGTTATAAGTCAATTAGACGAAACTATGATGAAATTCTTCTTTTAGTTGAATATAGAACTGCTAAAATTAAATATTGATTATTAAAATGGAGTCGAAAAAAGAGAAGTTTAGAAATGTTTATAAACTAATGCCGTATTAGAATTGAATAATATGAAATGAGAATATAAAAAGAACGGAAAAATAAATAACTAATATATACTTTTGTCGGGAAGAAAAAATGACTGTGTTCCTTGTTTGGTTATGTCAAATAGTTTATTAAGTTTAAACACTTCACAATATTTTGCTTTTGCTTAATTATATCTTTTTGGAAAGGTTAATTACATTTTGTTTGTATATTTCGATTTAATAAAACAAAACACAAAATCAATTTCTGAACTTTGTTGAACTAGTTGCTCATAAATATAGTTGTTATTGAATAATCTGTGCCATCTTGATAAATATCAGTCAAATCATTGTTAAATTCTGTTTCATGACCAAATGTATTAGCGATTAAAACAATGAAGTATGCGTTTGATTTGTTTCAATTTTCCAATTGTAAACATTAAACAAGTGCACTTATTATATCTTCTGAACAATTGCCATTATCGATCGCTGTGAAATCATCAAGCAATTTTTCTTATTTCTAGTCTCATTTTCTGTAAATTCGCTTACATAATACTGAGGATCATCATCAATATCACGAAAATTGAGAATATAAAATCTTAGTTCAACTACCAAACTCTGATATATCTCTTTAATCTTCTAATTAATTCCACTAATAATATCATTCATTTATTTCTTCGTTTTCGGAAGTCATTCTCGACACACTACTATTACTATTCAAGTAATTAGCAACAGATATCGACAACCAAATTTGCCGATAAATTACCACTGGAGTTTGGCGGTTCCAAGAAATTTGCCACCGAAAACTGGACCAAAACCATGAAAAACACATTGAAATTGTTAAATCATCTGATAGATACAAAAACTCTTAAATCCATGTCTAGAAACCTTCATTTTTTCATTCTTGAACTTCAAGATTTCCGTATATATGTATAATATTGTTTTTTGTTGCAGTATTCAAATACATGATGTCTTAAATCTCAACAATTTAATAATGAAAATTTTTCAAAAAGATCGAACATTTTCGTATGTATCTAATAATTTTAACAGTTCCAGTTCGCATCTTTAATATCATCATTACAATAGAATTGTAACAATTATAATAAATTGTTAAATAATAATTGCTTCCTAAATTTGTTCAATTTTTTTAAGTAGTTTGTTATTACGATAGAACACAATAATACAAAATTTATTTGTATCTGATTTTTTAAATGCTTCAATAAGGACAATGATTGGCTTACAAAGTATCGTCTATATTTATTTAATGATAAAATGACATCACCGAGTGAATTTGTTAAATTATCGATCAATTTGGAAAAGCTAATTTCTTCACTATTTCATTGTTTATCAAGATCATGTCTTTCATCAATTAATTTAAGTGATGAATAATCTTAATGAAGATATTCTATTGTTTGCACAATTGTTATACAATTCTTCGTTACATTCAACTATTCGTTCAATGTCGATAACATTTGATAGATTTTTTTTGAATCTGTGCCTTTGAATTACTAATTGTATAATCTGTTAAAGTTTTTATTTCGCATTCCTTAATCGTATCGATTTTATGATCAAATGATCATTTGACATGGATTTGTGAAGGGATATTAAATTTTTGTTCAACATTATTGGAATTTGTTTTTTTTTCATTTGAAGATTTCTATGAACATCGTATTGATGAGAATGATAAACTCAATGTATAAATTTAATATATCATCAACTTTCATAAATGCAATGTTGCACATTAATTTATTTTAGTGCTTGAATCAACATTCTAATAATACATTTGTTTAGAATTTTCAATAAACATGAAACCTCAATTGATTTTTTATTTTAATATTATTTCTGAATAAGTACCATTAGGACGGTCCTCTGTTCAACAATCGGTTAACATAATGAAGAATTTGTTGTCGATGTTTCTTTCTCAAATACTACATCTGTTAATAGAGCTAAACCAGTTTCAGGATCTGTACTTTGATTGAATATTAAAGCTTCAAGGATGTTGTAATGACTTATTTTTGTGAATATATAAATTATGTTTTTGAGGATTTTTTTATTAGATTTTATGCTGAATTGTTTAACGATAAATTTCATTTCAAGTTTACGTAACAAATAACGCTCGCCGTTGCAACTTGCTTGACTGAGAGTGGATTTGGGTCTGAGTATGGATGTTGAAGTGTATAACGATGTCAGTGTGCGTCTCCACATGTTTCTTCTCTTCATCGATTGAACCAATCACAATTATACCCGCACGCACACCTATACCCATTAGTGACCGGCGGTTCTGGTTAGTAAAAACGGAAAAAAATCTTTCTAATTTCGGCCCTTAAAAAGTTTCTTTGAATTCAGTGAACTCGTAATAGTATAACAGATAACAGACAGAATCATTTTTTTTGCTAGAAATTTCGAAGTTGTTAGTATTTATTATTTTTGGAAAAGCTAATTCTTCGAAAGATAAAACAACAAAAAGAAAGAATGAGAAGACCATGATTGTTATTCAGCTGCATAATGTTTTTGTTGATAAAAAATAACATTAGCGGGGCCTAGTTACACATGAAATGGAATTTCAACTTTATATTTTGTTCTTAGTGGAAGTTGAGATCATTTTATTATATATTTATAGTACCTATCTTTGTTGTCTTTCACAACTTCAATGACAATCAGTCAACTCGACTGAAAAAGTTTATTGTTTTCTTTTTATTTAACAAAAGACATTGAGAGCTCTTGTAACTTTTTTTTCTTTCGCTAGTCTAGAGGGGCATATTAACTAAAAAGATCTTCTCGAAGATTGAGAAACTTTATGAAAATTTTTTTTGATAGGGTTAAGTTCAAAGAAAATTTTTTTTTCTTCAATGAAAGTCATTTTTTGGAAAAATGAACTTTCCAACAAGAATCAATATTTGTGTTTATCTCTTACTGCGCAATGATACCAATGGAGACGTGTCACCGAACAGCTGCGGTAAGAACAATCAACTATGTTCTGCAAAAACAATTCTTTTACATGAAAACTCGTCTTTTATGTCAAAAGCCTTACTTTTAGCTATGTTTGACCTCTTTTTCCATCCCATAATGAGAGATACATCAAAATTTATTGCTGATTAAATCGTAGATTGATTTCTCTAACTTGAGATAATATAACACTTGAAAAGCTTCCCAGTTATCAGAAAAACATTTTCAGTTCCAGTTTCTGGTAAAAGAGCTGATAATTCGGATTCAGTTCTTGATTCTATGTTCGGAACCGTCGAGCTTTAATACTCATGCACACTTCCACAGGCACATTCACCTCATCCCACATCGTCATCTATATCGACAGCCACACACACTGCATCGGCATTTACAACATACCCCAAAAAGCACGTATACACCTATAGCTACACTACATCCGTCAAGCTCCATTGATTTGTGTAAACACCTAGTGAAACGGCACTCAGAGTGTGCCAAATTGAGTCAGAACGTATTTTACCAATATCCAAAGACGAAAGAGAAAGAAAATATTGTAATATTCAAATAAGAACAAGCATATCAATGAATAGAAACACAGAGAGAGAAAGAAAAAGCAAGTTCTTCAATTCAAGGTTAGAAGATAGATGCCATTTTAATTCGGTAACTTTGCTCTTATCACTGAGCTAAATCGAGGAGATGAAGCATGCTTTTACCGAAACACATTTGAAACGTTAATTTTGCTACTTTATCATCTATCAAATGGTTGGTTCGGGTTTACAATTTTTCGCCAACTGTTATCATTCATAGGAATATCAATAACACTAGCATTATAATTATTAACCTTTTGTCTCCGATCATCTGGTTGCCGACGATCATAATCATCACCATCATACCGGTCTACCACTGCTTTAATCAGATTCATTTCAACTGTATCTTCAGTAGGAAATCCATTACGTCGGCGTCTAGAATGAATAAAAAAATGCATCAAGAAAAAATGTCGAAAAGATATTCCAAAAGAAAAATTTATAAAAGGTAAAGTACCGAAAATTATGATGATAAGAGGTCGACGGACTTGAATGTTTTAGAAAAGGAGAATAAAACAGGTTCAACCATGTGCTGATTCAAATAAAAGGTAGTCTTGCTGCTAGATCAAAAAGACCTACGACCAACACAATACAACAACAAACTCGTACTTTATATTTACGTTATGAACATGATATTGCTGTTGATGAGCTCTGAGATGAATTATTCTATGTTGTCGCAAAAAATATTACATCGAAAAAGAATTATGAATGATTTATTTCACTGGTAATTGAAAATCTCATTAATTTATTTATAATGTCAATTAAACTCTGAATGATACTATTCTTTTAGTTTATTATTCAATAAAATTTGTATCGTTGGTCAAGATCCTCATGCTAATCTATTTTTTATTTTCTAAACTTCTTTTCTTTCGAGATTTTTCCATAATACCAATGAATCAGTATTAATTGCTCGAAAGAAAAAGGATCGGAGGGAAAAATCTCCAAGAAAAACGACCGAAAGATAAAAACTCGAGCTAGTTAAATGTGAAAGAAGATAAAGCTCAAAAAACTAAAGTCCAAAAAAAAAGTCAATCTCTAATACGCGAAATAGCAACAATTGAGAATCCAGAAATAAATATCTCGAAAGTATAAAATATAAAAGCAACCTGAACAGTTCATAGATACGTGATTTATTAAACATAAGTTTGCTGAAGAATGCAAAAAAATTTAGACACTAAGAGTATACACTATCGACTATGATGCGGTGAGGGTGTCTGGATGTTCTCTGCAATCACATGCACGTAACGTGCAAAACTCAATGACAGAAGATGATTTTCAACAGTAATTTAGTGTTATGAGCTGTTTTTACGAACTTTCTAGATTTTCGATAGTCAATATTTTGCCTTGCGGCATTTTGTACTTTGATCTACTGTATTTCGAACATCTTCTCATTCGAAATTGTTTTTATTTGGTATTTCAGATTTTTTCCCTTCGATTTTATTCTTTTCGAGTACTTCACAATCTCCCATACCGACGTCTATTTGCTACATTATCATTTTGATCATGATTTTTTGTTTCCATTGTTATTGGTTTATTCGTTCTAGGTATTACTTTTGGAGTCGGTACATTTCGTATTTTTTGTGATGGCGGTAATGTTCGTTCCAGATGAACAACAACTTGTGGTAAGATATTTGCACTTTCAAAAACAACTAATTCATCATAGCGTGCATCATCTATGCGTTCAGGTGGACGAAAATTCATTTTAGATGTTTTATCAGTAACAGGAGAAACTGGTATAAAATGACATTGATAAGTACTATGATTGCCACGTCCATAGAATCTGAATTGTATTGGCTTGACATATTTCGGCGCATCAGAAGAAATCACAGGAAATGGATTTAAAACTAATACGTAACACATTAATAGACATGGATTTTCTTCCGGACAATAACGTGATGCATACTGGGCACTTGACGAAAAATACATACCCTTACCAAACCAGCCATTATTGCGTACCGCTAAGGATGAAAAACCGTCAGCCAACAATTTTGGCAACACTTCTTTATCACAGCCATGCCATACTCGTACAATTTTTGCTTTTCTTTTATGGTCTACCTGATTATATAAATTCTGTAAACGTTTCAGTACTTTTTCTCGTTCTGCAACATTATTTTCAAGATTCAAATTCGGTTGAAATACGCTTTGCTCCATACGCCTTTCAACAATCTCAATTTGTTGACGGAAGTGGTTAAATTTATCACGATTTTGTATGATGTCGATCGCTTTTATTTTGAAACCATTTCCCAGAGGACCAACCCAGTTTTTTACGCAGCGAGCAAAGGTTGAGTGTAATGGATTTTTTTCAGCGAGTTCACATGAAAAAACTTTTGTGCCGTAACCATGCTGATTTCTTTTCAAGTATTTTTGAGTAATGGGTAAATCAAAAGCACCGTGAAACTCATTATCTTGTCTTTTTTGTTTGCGTCTTCGTACAATAACATAACCAGTTACACCTACGAGCAGTAAAGCACTAAGTACTGCCATAACAATACCAACAATTAAACCAATAAGATTCGGTTTTGACGATGATGATTTTAAACCTATGATAATCGAATATAATAATGACCAAGAGCTAGATTTAGTCATTGAAGATGATGGAGAAGGCCACTGAAATTTCATCCTTAACTATTTAAGATTTGTCTTTGATATTCAGATATTATTTTTCTATGTCCAAGTGTATATCATAGGGAGTTCAACGAAATTGTATGACTGAGATCTAGCATCTAAGTTTTCTTCTAGTATCATGTCATTTTTATCATCGAGTCATAAAGAATGATTGCGTCTCTCAAACACTTTTGCTTCAAGTAACTTGATTTTTTTTTCATTAATGAACAAATGAGGAAACCTTCTACAAAAAAGAACTTAAAGATGTGGGTGTGGGTGTGAGCTTGTGCGCAAGTCAACAGATAAAGCCCACACGTTCACACCTTCCAGTAATTGATGGCTTCTTTTTGGTGTACCTATCCTGTGTTGATGATGTGGGGAGTGACGTTCAAGTTTCAATCTCTCATTCTTTCGTCCACTTCTCGACTATCACATAGCCTGTTCACGTTCAGTTAGGTAATCATTTCTGCTTTTTCCTTACTGACTGAACGCAGTGCCCGATCCAAGTAAAGAAGCTGTTCTTCTTTTTATTTTAAAGAGAGAACATATTTACACATTATACAGTGATCCATGACTATGAGTGATCATAACCATCAATCCGCTGTTGTGGCGATTCCAAGCATTTTATCCCAGACAAAAAACGAAATAACTTATGAAAGAGTGCAGTGCCCCGTAATTATTTTTGAGATCCTAAAAGAAACTCGGAAAATCCTGAGTTTATCTCGAAACTCTCAATCAGTACACAGTTCTAATTTAAATCATTACATTACCTTGTACTGTTGGTTTTTCAGCTTCGATAGTCACATTTCCGTTTTCTGTAGTCAATTGAAGTAGAGTTGGTGGTGTCTGTTCCAAAGCTGCTTGTATTTCATCTCTACATGGGTGTCCACTGGGACATTCGAATGGAAGTTGTAGAGTCGCATTAACGTAAAGATAATACATTGATGCTGATTGTGCTTCACTTAGTTTCCTTTTAAGCAAGAAACATCAATAAAAGTACATACTTTTTTTTTATCGATAAGCAATAATAACACTTACCACCTCAATTGTTCAGATTTTCGGATGATTCGAGCTTCATTAATTACTACGCTAATATTAATATATATGTTTGATAAACGGCTTTTTATCTTTAGAATAAACAAGAAAACAGGAGTTCTGAAATGTCTCTCTCACAAGATAGGCCTGCCTCACCATATTTTCTATTTCTGGATAACTTTCCTTCATTACGGGATCTGACGTTACATTCGATGGTAAATTGATAGTACTTGCCGGTGTAATTGTGTAGTTCAATTGAATAGGTAAAACTTAATAAATATGATTACAACTTGCATAGTAAATTTCCTTCAAATTATAAAGGAAGACAAATTACTTTGCCGGAATCCTGTCGTCGTCGTCGTGGTGCTAAGAATGGAAGAAAGCCCACTTGTGGCTCCATTAGTTATCCATGCTGTTGTTGCTATTGACGTTGTCGACGTTTCATTTAAAGAATCATCAAATGAAAATGTGGCGCTGATTTCTGTTGATTCTGTCGACGTATCATTTATGGAATCATCAAATAAAAATGTGGTGCTGATTTCTGTTGAGTTTGCCGACATTTCATTGATGGAATCGTCAGATGAAAATGTAGTGTTGATTTCTGATGACTCTGTCGACGTTTCTTTTGTAGGATCATCAAATGAAAATGTGGTAGCGATTTCTATTGCAGAAAAAGAACTCGATGTCTCTAGTATACAATGACTAATGTACTCGATTTCAAAATTTTGTGTGAATTTTGTATTTTGTATTTAGGAGAATATAAGTATGGGCTATACTGTACTTTCTCTTCACTTCTATCACTCAACTAAGGGTTCGACAACGGTCTTTCTCATATGTCATATCTATAACCCAGACAATCAGCAAGCAACGAGTCTTTGACAAATGGGCGATTCAATCCTAGCTGCATAAGGAATCCAGTTCTCTAAGGAGGAATTCGCTATGGCAGACAATTCAAAAGTTTGCAAAATACTGTGGGAGTAAAAACCTCAACCAGCATTTTGTATAGGATGCTCACAAAGATCTACTTATGATCCAGAAAATATATCTCTTTGTGATCTTCAATCTAATCATCAATAAATCTTTCAGACATAGGAGAAAGTAAGTTCAGACGAAATCCTAAAGAAAATTTGAACTGAATCCTAAATAATATGTCGATAGCATGTTCCATCAGTAAATGAACCACGACTCTTATTATAAGAACCGAGTGAATACAGAGAAAAAGCTTGTTAGCGCAGCCCCTTTGAGGCTGAAATGTGGAACTCACATATGCTCTCTAGCCTCATTAAACTAATACAAAATACATAAAGTGAAAAATCTCTCGTAGATTATAGTTATTGTGCAAGATAATCAATCGTTAGAGCCAGAAGCTCTCTAATTTCTGCATTTCGAACAGAAATCTTATCTTTTCTACAAGCCCCCTTCTTTTTTGTTTGCATTGCTACTATTCGCTCGTTATTTTTCATTTTTGAAAATTTGTCTTTTCTAATCTAACATTCTTATTATTATAATCATTGAACAAATTGACAAATAAATCTTTTTTACCTTTTCATGATATCTACAGTAGATCTTACGCACTATCATATATATTAATTAACTCGCAAATAATGATATTCATTATTGTTCAAAATTATAACTTGATCATTTTTGCAAAAAAGCCTGTAGAAAATCTAACGCCTAGTATTCTCTTCTCTATCGCTAAGGTCTGTAATGGGGAGGGGGAGGGGGCGCGAATCTTTGACCTTAAAACTTACACTCGCTGTTTTCTTCGAAAATATATCTGAGTTCTACAAAATCGGTAGATTCATGATCTTGCGTAGTCTTCTCAGGTCTGATTCATGAACAATGTCAACTAAGAAGAGGAAAACTGAGTTTTTCTCAGTGCAAAATAGCATATCGAATGTCGTGAAACTGACTGATCAAGTTGTTGATAAGGAGCTGTAAGTTCACGTTGTTGTGGCTCCCGACTTGACGGAATTAAACTTGGATGCAGTTCGGTCTAACCTCAAAATATTGTCTCGTTAACAGTTAGTATCCTCATTTTACACAACTAAGTGAAACATCAAGATTTTAATTATTTATTGACAACTCTCAGAAAACAGTCATTGTAAATTGAATCATTACTACTGAAGAACTGAATACTGGAAAGTGACTTGGGTACAATCAATATTTTTCGAACTCAAATGAGATAAAATATGCCTGCTTAGTTATAACTATTCGGTAAGACTTGCTGGCAGAGCGCGTACGATGTGCTTCTAACGTTGCATGACCTGTTTAGGATGCTTCAAGAAGTGTTAGTTTAGAAAAAAAACTTCGAGAGCTATGTAAGATACATTAATGATGGGTCGACGAGCTTCTTGAAGTTTTCAAGCACTTTGTTCAGACAACTCACATCTTGTCAAAAGACAAGGAACCAACCTTACACACATACTGATTCCTCTATGAGATCGGCTCTTTAATCGTTGCAAATAAACATTATACAAACTCTTGGGATATGAGAGTTCCATAGATATAAGTACTTGACTTCCTTTATCTAGTGTTGGAGGTTTCCCTATTTGTGTTTACATTTTGCTCTATGATCTATTTTGTTCTTCTTTTTCGATGGATTCTGTGAAAATATATGTTGCTCTCAACGTAATTCAAGGTGCTTTTAGAAGTTGTGCTCGACGACTCACGTATGGCATCGCCGGTACAGCTATATGTTAAGAGCAAAACACGACTGAAATGGTTGATCTCGATTTTGCTTGGTTTTTGGCATTTTTATCAAATTAAATAAGCACATGAATCTGAGAGTTCTCTTGCGTCACATATATTTGAATTTCATTGTAAAACGGGTAATTTCAAGTGAACATGAAGTCTATTGTAGTGGTCAGATGAATGGAACAACGTACAATAATACTGTGTTAAGTGGCATCATCTTTTTCGTTCTATTGTTGTTGTGATATGATCGTATATATGTGTGTTCCATCTATATCTTCTTTCTTTCTGTTGTCATGCGTGAATGGGTATATGTTTTCGTTTCCAGTATGTTCAAGTATATTCGTTTCTTTCGGTATGGATCTTGTATGTTCTCTCTAGTACTTTCGTGTGAGTTCTTGACTCTGTAGTACGTTCTAGCACATTCCTTTTATTCCCAAACTCATATATATATACCCATCGCTCATAACAATAAATGGGATTGTACATACATGATAAGATAAGACTTCTTTCTGGCTTACAACTGGTAAGTGGTTGACTACTTCTACAACTGCAATGACTGAAGCTAGATAACAGTACCGAGATATGAGTATCTTGATGAGGACCCTTGAAAAGCTGACATAAAGAAGAGTCAAAACCGAGATTGACAAACTTGGCTTCTATATATGTCTTGCCGACGGACACTTTTGACGTACAAGATATCCAGTCGACTGGAATTTGCGTTGCCGGTGACAAGACAAGTGTAAAAAACACTTGAAAAGTCTCCTGAACTTAACATAGTTCCAAAGTCTCAAATGCATCTTGTACGTTCATCCTACAAAATGCTTCTCGTATGAGAAGACGGTTATACTTATAGGAAGGAATTCAGTTAACTTTGCGACCAAGAGACACTGAATATGTCAGAAGTACTGAATGGTTTACACCAAGAACAATTTCAAGACTTTATAGAGGGATGAATGAAACTACAGTTTCTTTTGTTTNTGTATTTCCAAATATGTGACGTGGTAAAAATAATGAAAAAAGGCTAGTTTTATGGAAAAATCTCGTGTTTTTATTTCATATAGAATGTATGAGTTATTTAACATTTTTTCAAGATTTTTCAAGCGGTTTTCTGAATTTTTTATCTCAAAAAAATCGCGTAGAAAAACTTCAATACATACAGTTTTGTAGAGCTCGACGAACTCTATCGAATCATGTAAAAATTTTCAAGAAAAAAAATGTATAAAATTTCTCAAAATTTCTTAAGTTCGACATTACAAAGTTCACAAAATCCTTACTGTTTAGTACCAATGAATCCCATTTTTGACGAGCTTTCATTCGGTATAAAATCCATTATATACTCCTCCCTGGAATAATATTGTTTTCTATCTTATGTCTTGAGGTAATCAAGTCGATTGATCACGTCCATATATATATATATTGATTTGAATTATAATTCATCTATATATGTATGACTAATAACAATCTCTTATTTCAGCGTAAAAGAATCACCAAAACCTTTTTTGTTCAAAAAGGTAAAAATGATTGTATCGACTGTTCAATTTTTTTATTATAGTAAAAGTCCATTGCGATGAGATTATAAAAAATTTGAAAGCTTTGTGTTCGTGACACAATCGTTTGAGTGTTAAAAGAAATAAGATTTTGCTCATTTTTCAGAAATATTCACTTCCATCATTGTAAAACGGGTGAGAAGATAAACTATTTTGTATACCAAAGACGCATGCATTAACCATTACCATATTACTCTTCTATTCAAACTAGTGGCGTAACCATAACATCGTGGATGGTAGGACAGTGCCCTACGATCTTCGTGAAATTCACGCAATACAGTGTTGATGATGAGAATTTTTACGTTTTTTTTCTTCTGGTGATAGAACAACGCCCGCCGGTCTAGTCCATCTATGGTTATGCTACTAACTTAAACATAGTAGTTATAAATTATTATATGAACAGACCAAGATAGTTTATGCCTATAAGATTTTCAACAAAATTAGTGCATACCAGACACCGAATAGAACCGAGTTTCGCTAGTTCGAGTTCGGTTTATTTTCTGTCTCTAATGCATACTGTATTTTTACGAATCTCTTTGAAAACTCTGACCGTGGATAAGAACATGCATCAATTAATCCATTATATTTAAAAGCATTATCAGCAACAGTATAATATAAAATAGAAATATTTTTATTGAAGTTTATGTCCAATATTTATGATATTGACATAACGAAAATAAGTGTTTAATATAAACTGTATCGTTACTAATGTACAATGTACTCCAGTATTTTTTTGGCTAAGTGATATACTCTTATTACGTTTTTGTATAATAGAAAATAAAAGAAATACACATCATACCTTCATCTGGGTGACCAAGATTTACCTCGTGATATTTTGACTCCACTGCATCTTTCTCTCACAAAGTATTTTCTTTCTTCTCCTCTCTTATTGCCTCCTTTATGACAAATAGACTTTTAGTTTTTCTGTTCTACTTATCACTTGGATTTTGCCTTTGTCTCTCATAACGTTTGCTGAACTTCTTCCATCTTATTTATCATCATGAGTAGTCCCATTGCGTCCAGACTTATGTATTGAGTATAATCTCGGAATAAACGACATTCGATCAAGCATTCATCTTTTTCAACATTCAAAGTTAGCCACCTACGAAGTTCTCGTCCTGTCACAGCCGTATTCATCAAAAGCAAAAAAAACTTCAAAAATATTTCTAAGAAAATTGTACTTTTAATTTCTGTGTTTTTCCTATAGGGAAGGAAGTAGTGTATCATAGTTAAGACTGTCAATCATCAAAATTTCTCCAATGATAGAAATGAAATACTCCCGACCTCTTTTTTTCATCGCTATAATCAATGTGAATTGAAAAGTCTCTTATATTTTGCATATAAATGAGTCATTTGAATGTTTTTCTTTATGATTAAATTGTTTCGTTGTTGTGATTGATGACAGTGAGTGAATGAGTGAGTAACTTTATTCTCATACAAAGATCTGATTAAAAGTAAAGCATTATTATGTCGATTGAAACTTCTCGTTGGTTTTTACTCGTTTTATTTTTTCTCATTCTTAATGGTTCTATTCAAGGTATATTGTTTTTTATCATTTTAATATTTTTTTTGCATTTGTTTTACTTTTATCTTGAAGGAGAAACCTCAGCAGATATAAATACGACATTAATATCTGTTTCAGTAACTTCATCTACAATAGCTAGTTCAAAAACAAGTTTGTACATTAATATATAATATTAATAGTTAAATTCTTTTTATTATTTAGATGAATCAACTTTATTATTGTGTCCGGAAGGTCATATTAATCCTCCCAATTGTACACAATGTCCATCGGCATACGAAAGTAAAGATAAAAAATGTCTTCAGATAAAAAGTAAGTTTAATTAGAAAGCAAATATTCTAAATATGCATATGCTGTTTAGGTGAATTAAAACCATCGCGTAATACAGGTCCTCGTATTTTGTTAATATTTCTGGCTAGTCTATTATCGGTATTTGCAATTCTTGCTATGTTTATTGTTTATAATCGTGTAAATCAGCAACGTCGTCGTCGTTTAACATCAAATCCAGGAAATAATTCAAATTTATCAACTAATAATACAACTATTAGGAATCGTTTTAATAATATATTACGATCGATTGGTTTGAATAATTCTAATCAACGTCGACGATTTAATTTCTTTTCTATTTCAAATAATAATCAATCATCTGGACAATATCGACAACCAGATACATCACGTGCAGATTTAAATGAAAATCTTGATGAAGCTTTATTATTCGATGATCCATATGCTGATGGTGGACTTCAAAATTCAGCAGCTAATCCATATAAAACATTGACACTTGCAATTACTTAAATAATTAATTTTTTTGGTTATGACACATGACATGTTTCTCATTTCCAGTATAGAACTACAACAAAAACTTAAGAAATATTTGGTGTAATCTCACATGCTTTCTCATTTTTTTTTATTCTATATCACGGCTAATTTATATAAAATGAATACAACTTTGTTTTGCTGCTTTTTCTGTTTTCTTTCGGTTATTATTCGTGTTTTTTATGTGTATTAAATACATATCTCGTTTTAAACTAAAAACAATAATTTTCATTTTTAATTATTTCAAGTGTTTAAAAGAAAGGCTAAGATTCGAATAGTTTTATTTAAAAACTTATTGGATGAAATCAAGATTCAATTGAAGTTTTTAAAAAAATTTTACAGATTTAGATTAAAGTGATGCCTGAGATAAGTTATATTTATATAGGACTTATCGCTTTAGATACATCCATGTAAAATAACTTCACTAAAAAAGAAAGAATCTTATCCTTTTTAATAAATAATAATTTGTCATAAATATACATTACATTAATTGTTTTCGAATAGGTTTGAATATGAATTCAAAAGAATCAATACTCTTCAAAGTTAATTCGTAAACTGAATAATTGATTTAACTGTATAAGTATGTACAACACGAATTCACGTCCTCGAAATAGCTTCTATAAGTATGACCTATTAAGTCGTCAATGAAATGGAATGTATAAATATTTGTACGGTTAAGACTAGCTACATTTACCAATGATTATTGCTTATCTTTAGAACTCTTCCGCGCGGAAAGGAAGTCGCGGGAACGACCACACGATGTGTAAAAATTTTCGTTTATCGCCGGCACATCAATGGGCGAAGAGAAACGCTCAATCACCTGCAAAATTCGGTCAACTATAGCAAAAATCTTCTAAGCAGCCTCCTTCTAATCTCACAGCTAGAATCCATCGTATTCAAAATTTTCGGATCCAGTTAACAGAAAAATTTCCGTCCAGAATTCGAAACCAGCGTAACGAGCTGTACTCGGGACACTTCTGTTTGTCTCTTAAGTTTTGAAGCAATCATCATATGATTCAATGAGTTAGAATATGGGTCAGATTTATATCAGTTTAGGAAAAAACCAAGAACAAAAGAAACAAAATGGCGTCTTATATAACGATAATTATTCAAGAGTGATACTTGTAAGAAAGATCTTGATCGGATGATCGTATTTCATAAATATTCTTGAATGTGTGTGTTGATATAAGAGACCATAAGGATCACAAGTCGATCATCTCCAACTAATACATTGTCTTTTTTTCTTTATCTTCTTTTTTCTTTGATATGTTCTTTGAATCAATCAAATATATAATGAATATAAATAAACGACAGTTAGTTCGAAGATGATTCATATGAAATTTTTATTTTTTGTTGGAAAAATTGATACCCGTAACACATGCTCTGTTTCACTTTTTTTAATATTTGACGAAATTATTTTCAAGAAATCTAATTAATATTGAATAAAAAGTTTGATTTTTAATGAAACTAACTATCCGCTATAAGAAAAAAAGTTTTCATTACATAGTAAAGCATCAAGTTAGAAATATTGCTTTATCCTTGACAGCAGAAAATTATTATTAACTCGTGTAAATTCCTAGTTACTTCACAACCTATTGCTTTCTTTATCATTTCTAATGTAAGAAGTAGTAAACCTTTGAAAGTTTACATATTGTGCTTCGTATAAAACTTTTTCTTTCGTTATTATTTGCCCATCATAAAACGAAATGATTTTGCTTTTCTTGCCACTTCATATCACTGAATCAACTTAATAAAATTCAAAAGCTCTATATTACATTGATATTAATTTCCAAGAATACTTCTGAAAAATAATAATAACAATTAGTTGTAATAAAATCATAAGTATCTTTGAAATGAAAAAAACATTATTGAAAAACGATAAAAATTCAAATAAGTGAATACTAAAATTCAACTACTTACTTCATTAGTAAAACTATTGGAGTACTAATCAATATTTTCTCAACAAAACAATTTGATTTAACAGTTCTTAATTAATATATAGAAACTGTAATGATCTTGCATTTTGTTTTTTTCCAATTATTTTACCATGATACATAGAACGTTATCATTGAAGCATTTGTTCTTTTTCGAACAATATAAATTTTCCTTTTTTTAGAATTTACTTTTGATTAGTAAATCGAATAAGATGAAGAATTTCGATACTATTCATGATCGAATATGAGATTTCAATATATTATCAAAACAAAACAAAAAATACCAATATGTAAAAAAAGAAAACAACTGCAATGTATTCAGTTTAGGAGACAAACATATCTTTAAGACGGTTTTGTTTTTCACCAAAGTTTTAAATAAAATAAGAACGATGAATACATAAAGGGTATTCCAGAAGTTCTGTAACGATTTGTATAATAAATTTTTCTTTAGTAAATCGAACGGTTGAAAATTTGACTCTATAAAGAAAAGATGCAGTAAAAGACGCTCTACAAAATGGCTTTTGATTGACCCCGCTAGGTCATCTAGTAAGAAAGTTATAGGCTTAGAAAGGTGCTTCAGAAAAAAGAAAAATTAACCGTGAACCCGGCCTCGATATTTATGCTTTAGCTCCTGTTCCTTAGGTCCTCTAGAACAAATTCTTTTTTTAATAGAAGCGCCGTGAAATTCTCTACAAAATTCTATCTAAACTTTAATTTCAGAAGTTCAATCAAGGAAACTAAGCAAATTATACGCAAAGCAAAAAAATGAAAACTTTGTTAATTTGGTATTTTTTTTCGATTCGAACTTTTTCTTCTCCTATTATTTTCGTAAAATGTGAGAACTCTGTTTGTGTTTGGTACTTTTAAATGTGCTCTTCTCGGGGTGTGCAGAAAAATTTATTACGGCAAATGAACAACTCGAAAACCAAGTTTCAAAACTACGTCAAGCAGTGAAAACCCCATTTCCGACAGTGTATACCCAGCAAAAGACGGAAAATGTGATCGAAATTTTGATCTTGCAACTAGATGGAGAAGAGCAATCATTTCTAATCAAAACAAAACAAATCATCAAGAAAAACCTTTTGTTTTGATGAAGTTATGGCACTTTTACTGAAATCATCAAAATGTCGACCGGGTTCATGGTTAATTTTTCTTTTTTCTGAAGCACCTTTCTAAGCCTATAACTTTCTTACTAGATGAGCTAGCGGGGTCAATCAAAAGCCATTTTGTAGAGCGTCTTTTACTGCATCTTTTCTTTATAGAGTCAAATTTTCAACCGCGCGATTTACTACAGAAAAATTTATTATACAAATCGTTACAGAACTTCTGGAACACCCTTTATAGTCTATCTAATTTTTCTAATATCCTTATTTCAATTAAAGTACAACGAAAAGATCTGAAATTTTTACCATGAACTATTCTCGTCAAGTCCTTTACACATGCAAAGTTTCAAGTCAAAATTCAAACTTTGATTTTTTTTTTCATCATCCTGAAGAGACCACAACAATTTTGGATACTGTGTGCATAATTCAATGCACTTTAATGGCATGTCTTTTGTTGTTTGCTGTTTCATGAATTCTTGAAAACTTTTTGGTGTTATGTTCATTTCTTCACTTTGTAACTAAAAACTAAGTTATATGTCTATAAATAATTTAAATTCATCGTTTAATTGCTCGCACATACTTTAAGGATACTTTGATCAGTACAAAAAAAATGTAATTCAACAAAATTATGAAATAATGAAATTGTTATAACAAAGGATTGCTTCTTAAACTTATATATAATTATGTAAAACTGCTGTTCTCAATTTAACACGATTAGGAGTAAATAAAGTTATACTATAAAATAAAATTTCAATATTGTGGTGTATTCCAGACTTTTTATTATTATTATGCATTTTTTATCATTCAAAAATTAACATGCGTCCGACACTGGTTTAAATTGCCAACATGTTATTGCTTCAATCATGCCAAACTTAGAAAATGAACTTAGTAGAACAAATATTATTACATTTTGCTGTTATCAATGCTTTTCAACTACAAGAATCGAAATTTTTTGCATTATAAAATAGTATAAGTTACTATAATATGTTTAATAAAAATAGACCAATGTTCACGACGTGAATTTTTTTCTTAATACATATTATTTCATTAACGTGTATATATTACAAATACATAGCTTGTAAAAAAAATAAGACGCTGAAACGCGATTCTACGGTTAATCGTAATATTTAACATATAATATAAAGAATGCAAACAAAAGCAATTCTGTTTATTTTATCAAAACAAAATTTAACGGGAATACAAATATTGCCTGCAAATAAATCTTAAACTCTAATAAGCAGAATAGAACACAATTTTTCATTTAATAACTTAAACATCAATTTTACATTAAATAGGGTATAGGATTCAGTTGCAAATATGTAAAAGTATTTTAAATAAAATATATAAGATTTCACGAATTTTGTTACTTTTTAATTAATATTTTTTACTTATCATAAACAAGAAAAGCGAATAGAGTTAAATCGAGTATTACTGCAACTCCTGATGAAACATAAAGGGTATGCAATCCAGCAAGCAAAAGTCTCTTTTGCTAACCTATTCGTCAAACGCACAATCGTTCGGTCTTAACTAGATGTTACTTACCAAAATGCCTAAACTACATTTTTTTGTGTAATCCATCATTACTTACAATTTGCTTTATAAATCGATATATGTTTTTCAATGCAATTGAATAGCACTACTATTCAGTTTTAAAAAAAAATCTTTTACAAGCAGGTTAACTGTTCTTTCTTGATTGACCAACTATTTTAATACTGTTGATCATAAAACTTTTATGATGCTTGGCTTCAACATCTTCAATCAATTTAACATAGAATATTAGATGAATAGCAGTATAGCGCAACTAGTAAAACATTCAAAAAATAAAACATAGAAACTAAGGTCAGTCACGAAGTATTTTATCAAGCACGTGCTTTCTACTATTGTTGAATTGTAGTCGAAAAGGTATATACTTCATTGAACCATATTTTCATCGATAACACACTATACTAGAATAAGCGAGTTAAAACATTGTTGTTACAAGCACTGACAACACATTAAAGTTCGATACGAAAAACAAATTGACAGCCACGAAAGCCTTTCATCTTTCAGTGGAATTGTTATGAAAAAAAAATACATTTGGTAAGATTTTCAGTTTCACCTGATTACCTAAATATGAAAATATGTGTCCTTCCACAAATATCATGAAATCGAAAAAAAAAATAAATCAAAGCAATTGTCTCTTGTTAGCTAAGTAGAATTGATGTTCTTTTTTTTTGTTGACAACATAAAATATGTAATGTTGTTCAATTTAGAACACATCTTGATTACATGATTCAAGCTTTTCTAGTTCATTTTTTTATGCTATAGTGTTCGAAAAATTCTAAAGCATTCATCAAAACATTATACATAGCAATAACAATCATTGATCATTACACTTCATTTCATGTATGCTGTCGTTCTTGCTCGCTGTATTCATCTATGCGTGCATTGATCTTGTAACTCTCTGTCATTGTTTACTATGCAAACCTTTTGTCTTTGTTGTCTTGCGTTCTTGCATATAATCGCTCTCACTACTACATACGACAATGTAAACGAAAACCAGACACGAATATAAATTTGCAAATGACGGAATATCCCACCATGCGAACTAATATAGATATGCAGCCTTACAACTCGTCACAATAATGACGACATAAACAAAAAAAACAAAAGTGAAAGCTTTTATCTTATCATTTTTTCACTGCTATTAAAAAAATACATTTGATTGAAATGGAGTAATTGTAAAAACGCGCTGGCGTTAAATTTCAACTTATTTAGTTTTCTTGAGTTATTTTGGTTTCCTTTTAATTAACTATTCAATAATTTTAGTACTATGAAACGTACACTTTCCGACAAAAATGATATATTACAATCAACAAATTTAGTTACATTAGATGGGTACATTATTCACATTAATACAATAACAAAAAATAATGGAAATGATAATCATCATTATTCATTTATCATTTGTTTAGAAGATCAATCTACAGTACGTGTTATAAAGCATCTGTCGAAAATTCCTTGTTGTTCTTTATACAATCGATTAAAAGAATCTCTCAAAAGTGGTCAAGGAGCATCAATTAGCAGTTTACGTGAGCAAAATGAACAATACACATGTACCACATCTACAAAATTGATGGAGAAAGAATTAAAGTTTCGACCTAATTGTATTCGTGTAAAAAAAATTTATGATTTCAAAAATGAAATAAATGATCGATTATGTACACTGCAAGTGAAAATATGCAATATTAGTGAAGAGATTCCGGTTGTTTTTGAAGAAAATCAATTTTCGTTTAAAAAACTGATTTTGAGAAAATCGTAAAGAAAGTTGTACTTTTTGGCTTTTTGAGCATTAAATTGAGATTTTTTTCAAGTTTCTCATACACAAAAAGATGGTTTAACCTTCTTAAAATGTGTTCATTAGATAGAGGACATTTAGATCTATATACTAGACATTAAAAATGAAAAATGAAAAGACTGAAAATTTTCGGTCAGGAAAAGGGGGGGGGGTTGTCGCTTAAGTTCACCTTTTTCGACTGCATTGGACCCTTCTCGGACTGAGAAACGTTTTCAAATACTCACGGAGTTTTGGTCTTACCTTGAGTGATGGAGAAGTCTGAGGATAGGGTGAGAATGAGAAAGTGAGGGTGTCGTCTGCACCTTCACACCTTTAGTATATGCTTGTATATTGGTGGATAAAGTTCTGCATATGCTCGTTAGATTCTCCTTTTCAAAAGCTTTCGATTGATATATGGCCACAATATATAAATACTCATTTAGTGATTTTTTTTTTCGTCAAAATATTTCTAATATTATTAATCTGATTGTGTCAGGAGACCTTGGAAAATATGCATTTTTTAATAAAACTCGTTTTCTTGCCGAAACACAAAACCGACAGTTGGGAAAACACTTGTTTTATATATAATCAATGAAGCTCTATCGAATGCACAACTTAAAGATTCTTCATCTTCACTTTTATTTTTTTTCATCAAATCGTACAATATATCAACGCAATTCACTCACATACATATTTAATCGACGTAAGACTCTTTCTTTTACTATATGAAATATTCGTTATCCATTGGTTATCCATGTTTCATCTTTTCAAGTTCCAATAATAGAAACTTTATTTCATTCGTTTCACGAATCAGCATATAGCATTTATTTAATTTTTTTTTGTTTTTTTGTCGTAATACAGTTAAATAATTTACAACAAAATTAGACAATATCTCATTGTAATGTTCATTGCACAAAAATGTCGTCTATTCAATAGAAATCTCCATCATGAACATCAAGCTAGATAATTATTGATTTAATCTTTTTAAATTGTAATGATTTGTTTTGATATGACATCTTGTTATCCATAATTTGAACATGAACTAAATAATCTTCTGTACGATTCTTGGAACTATGTTGATTAGGGATTTTTATTAAAGTATACTAGATATCTATAACAACTCAACTTTAATTATCTACAAATTAATTAACTATTGTTGTTCATACAGTTTTATCATAAGCAGAGTACGATGATTACTTATAGTTAATTGGTATGAACTTGGTATTAAACTTGTGATAGAATTCAATGAAGAAGATTAACAAGATTCACCAATATGATAAGTTGAACAACCTCCATAATGCATTCCTATTGTTATTCATACCTTTTTTCATCATCAAGTTCAATTATACTCTTCGATCATTTAATTCATTTCTATTGAAATAAAAGTCAAATTAATCTTTTTCTTTTTTTTTTTTTTTTTTCTATTTAGGAAAGTTTTTTCTGTCATTGATTATGTACTCTTTTTGCTGTACATAATTTGATAACAAGAGAATTTCTATTTAATGAACAACATCTAAGGATACAATTATCTTCGAAAGACTTCTGATTGAAATGAAAAGATACTGAAGAGGATAAATAAAGTTTTAGTTTTATTTGTATTATGTATGCGTGTACTGATCTATATTCATAACTAAGTTGTCTTTGATCATTTGCAATATTAAAAATAATCTTTATTTTACTTTGTTAGGTAGAAAGAATAAATTTTTGACATTCTTTTCTTTAATTTATCATGGATTGAAATTTTTCTATTGTATTAAAATGTATCACTTCTATTAGTTCGAGGTCAGTTTAGTTTTATTCAAACAATGATCATGAAATTAAAACATCTTTTTCACATTTTGACACTTAACACACATTTATTTAAATGCTCTTTTACTAGAGGTTTACTTTTCAATTATTTCAACGATAGCTCATATAATAGTTCACATTTTATTGCTTATATTTAACAACTTCCCTAAACCCAGGAAGCTCATTTTTTATCATCGTCGTTTTTTTAGATTGTATTAAATTCTTAAATGGCAAATTTTCATCAACCACCTATTGTACCTATTTCGGCATATATTGTAAATTTGTTTCATGGTTATAAACCACCAAGAAACGGTAAGATTTTTGCTGTTTTTTTTGTTCCACTACGAATGCCAGTTAAATAATACTAGTCGATAAAATAGGTGAAATGAAAAAAGGAGTAAGTTTGAAAATTTTCGATAATATGTCTAAGGAACTCGTCATAAGTGTTCTAGAATCCGAATAGGTTTTTAGAATTTGTCTCTTTTTTTTATGCTAGTTATCTCAAAACGTACATTAAAAATCTTACAAGAATATGCGAATATATTTTCTTTATATAATCAAAAAATCTAAATTTTTTTTATTATTTAGATACTACTGGTCTTTATGTTTGTTTAAATTGTGATCGTTATATTTCTAGTGCGAACAAAACAGATTGGCTTCAACATACTCATGATGTTCATAAAGATGAATTTGATAAATTAAAAGAAATTCAGCGTATGTTGACTAATGCTTGTCGTCGAATTAAAGCTGATGGCGATGTGGTAATATAAATTTAAATAATTTACATATTTCAATTATTTCTTTAGCAGAAAACAATCATTAAAGCATCATCATCATCATCATCATTTAAGCTCGTGGAAGAAGAAGAAATGACGTCAACAAAACGGGTATAATATAACATGACAGCAGAATTTTCATATATAATATTAGGAATTGATCGAATAATTTTTTTTTCTATGTTTCGCATTGTTTAATATCTTAATATGATCGGACTAGAAGCTAACTATTAGTTAAAACTCAATAGTAAGGGTTATATCAATCTGATTCCTTGCCTTGTCTTGTGATTACCTCTAGCTTCCAAATACTTAACTCTAATGTTAAATCTTAAGATAAAAATTCTCGTTAGATCTTATTTTCGACAAAACTATGTTTCTTACGTTTATTAAAAGTTCGAGCTATTGATATATTTATTAGTTGCCTATGACATAATAATGAAAAAATGAATATCATTTTCAACGTAAAATTTGCTTTTTTAGTGATAGCAAATTAAAGAATAAGAAAATTTTATAATGACTAATCTTGCTGCACTCATTTCTTCTTCAATTCAGACGAAAACAAGAAAAAAAAAGAGACCAACTAATTCAAAGTGATTGAAAAAAAAATGATTGACCTTTTTGCATAGCAACGCGAATTATATTGGTTAATTCACTTTGAATTAAGTCAGTCTGTTTGGAGCGTTATCCATGTATATATATTCGTCTATGATTGTATTCTTCTCTCATTTTATTGTTCAGTCGCACCCTCACTCTCTTTCTAACAATTCCTTTTGTTATAAGAGAAATGGCTGAGAAAGTAGTGGTAAGTGCACTAAAACAAAAAACTTTCATTTTAAAAGACGCCTTATGTCTTAACGGATCACAGATTTTCTCTTTCTCGTAGAGAAGAGTCTAGCAAGAATAAATTGTTTGCTTGCTTGTATATCCGCACTTCACTGATTGGTCGAATAATGATGTCGGAACAAAAAGGGATCTTTTCAATAAAACTCGACCAAAGATAATCGAGGACGAAGAGTTCGAATCTGAGGTCAGTTTTTTGAAATTATTAATTAATAATTAACTAATTATTAATTATTGATATTTTTCATAAAAGTTGACTAAAGATAATTTAGGTGCAGTGTCTAAGTCAAAGGTCAGTTTTTACTTTTTTTCGCTACTTCGATTAGTAATTTTTTTTTAAAACTTGACCAAAGATTATTCAAACAGAAAAATTAGAGTCTATAACTCGTTTGTGTTAATAATATAGTAATAGTAAGGGGTAGCAAGATTTGCTAATCTCACCATAGTAGTGTGAAAATTAGGTCCGACCTTCTGTTCAGAACGCTAAACTCAAACGTGTAGGTGAACTTGGCAGAAAAAAACAGCGAAAATGTTCAGAGTGCAATTCTTGAAATCATGTAAATAAGTAATTTGCCGATGGTTCAGACACAATTTTACGAGAAAGAGCTAAGCGAGTCTACAGACGAGCGTTATTTTCACTTGTTTATCATTATTTTTTTTTCACTTCTAGAACGACGATGAAACAGCTGCACAATTGCTCCAATTAGGTGAACAATTTAAAACAGGTTTTTTCAAAAGTGCTACTGATTATCTTAAAGAAGCACAAAAACTTATGGGACAAGCTAAACAAGAAACAGGTGGTCATTGATCGTCATATAATGACATTAAATTCTTTCATTTATTCTTGTCTTGTTATGTATGAACTTATTTTGGGAAAAAAAGACTACATTTTAACTCAAGGTATATAAATATATCTTTTTCATATAGTAAAGCAATTAAACTTGGCTTCAAAAAGTAAAATGAAAAATGTTCTGTTTTGTTCCTCCAATAGTTTAACTGCTATCGTTATGTGATCAATACTTGAGACTATTTGCTTAACTATAAAATAATTAGGAACATGGTTTCAGAATTATTCAAGAGAAAAAGAAATTTGTAACGAAATAGTTTTATGATAAAATATGAAGCCATTTTTTTGTTTAATGTCCGGAATTGATTTGAAATTATTTTCAAAAGCATAAAGAATAAGAAAAACAAATATACAATAAGCATGTTTTTTTTTCATGTACATTCATCAATATGCTTAATTGTGTTTGATTGAATAAATTCTTGATCTTAATTGCCATTGAATCAAGACGAAAAATGCGAGATTAAAATTCGAGTTTGATTTAATAATTTTTTTTAAATGTTAATACAAAATAATCTATTTGTTGTTTATACAATTCATAAATGTTTTTTAAATATGATTCAACACAAACACATAAAATTTCTTCAATTAAAACCTTTACTATGACCTATTATATTTAATGAAGCTAATAAACGTTGTATATTTCATGTAAATGGACCACAATAATCAAAATGAAATTCATCTACATAAAAATTTAATATCTTATGATTATCCAAATATGAAGCAAAATTTTCAACATGTAAATTATCCAACATAGTAAATGGCATAAATATTTACATGAGAATAATAATATTTCTAGATGGTTTATAAAAATTAATCTATTGATTTTTGTTAATTGTTAAATCTTGATAGGGTGTGGGTGTATTTGGAGTCTACTCTCTACCCACACCCGCACCTACAATGTCAGTGCACCGGATGAATACCATCAGGTACAATATTTGATAGGAGAAATTTGTGGAACTTGCACTAGATGAGTCTTGCATGTTTCAAGTGTTCGTATGATGAACAGAAAAATAAAGACCCACAATCACACTCTCGCTCCCATATAGTTAGACAGAAAAAAAACCATGGCCAGCCAAGACTATATTTTGCTCTTTCAAGTTCACATCGACATTGTCAAATCTTGCGACTGATGCCTTCATTTTTGTTGGAGAATCTTAGTCTTCTTTGTTTTACTTCTGCACGCTATCCTGTGTATGAAGAACTTTGTTTCGATGATCAATTCCTTCTTTAACACAAGAGAATCAAAATAAAAATACGACGACAACATGCAATAAGCTATCGCAGCATGAAATGCATCATGTATATATGTTGTGCACCGCGACAGTCTTTTTAAAGATTTCTCATTTCGATCTTTTTACTTGCGATCTTTGACCAGTGAATTAGTAGGAAAAGAAGATTACAATCTACAATGTGCTTTAATTGTTAGTGTTCGTGGAGTTAGATAAGACTTAGAAAGAAAAAAAAAAAATTTAGTGTTATAATCTCATCAAAACAAACACGAATTATGACAAAAGTCGGGTCTACCACAAATGATTAACTAAGCTTCACACTTCACTCGTACGCAAGCACTAATCTAGTGCCAAAAGTCAGATAATTCGAAAGCATCTTTCCAGTTCCAATCAGTTGTGAATTCCATTAGTATTAATCATATCGAAACATCAATTATTCTAATGATTTTGGTGAAGAAAAGCTACAAGTTTTCTTTTGAAAAAACACAAATAATCGATTATCAAACAAATGACAACTAAAGCAAGATCATGGATAACATGGAAATTATCTTGGCGAAGGAACAATGTGTCGCGGTCGTCGCCACCATAAGATTTGATCTTTCACCGTACGACGAAAACGAAGTGATGAGAACATGAGAAGATAGAATCGTCCCTAAAAGCGCACCACAAAAAATGAGCTTTATAATTCATAAAACACTTACTGCATAAGCGATTGAACAAAAAAGATAAGTGATGTTAGAAGTCAATGACTCCTTGGCTTTTCGATCAGCATTCTTTTCAACATTCACCGTAATAATTGCATAAACATTATAAATAACAAATGGACTAAGACCTATTAAGGTAAGCAAAACTTGAATGAAAACTATGATTGTCAGTTGTCGGTCAATACGTAGACGCGCGAGAACAGTTGTTTTTTTTACGTTTTGATAACCTAATATTCCAAATATCGTCATTATTATAATAGGGGTACCCCAGAGAACAATACCGAGAAAAAACCCAGTATAGGCATAAAATACATCATTGGTATAAATACAAACGCCTGTAATCGGTGACATATTCTGATAAAATAACCAAAGAGTACCATGAAGCCACCAGATGATAACAACGGACAAAGAAACTCGATATGCATTTTTAATACTGCTCCATTGACGAAACCGAACATGTTGCGATGTAATTAGAAACTGATCAATAGTAGACAAACATGCACAAATCAAAGGAATTTCACTAAAACTTGAAAGTAAAAAATAACGAAGCTTGCACCAAACGACAGAAGTGCGCGTCATGTCAACATCCAAATATGCGGCAATGACACGCGGACCAAGAGCAGTCATAAATTGACCACACTCATGTATAGCAGCAATAATAAAATAGAATGTACACGGAGTTTTTCGAAAATAGGGTACACTCATAAAAGTGAATATCTGCATGACACTACCTATAAGCCCTATAACCACGAAAAACAGACCAATATTGAGCGTAATTAGTCGATTAATAAGGACCAATGACGTCATCAGTTATTTTGATGATAAACACACCTGAAATCAAATAATATCACTTAAAAAGTGTCAGAAATCATTATAACTACGTAATTTATTATATGTAACTATATAAGAACCCAGAGCTTAAGGTCATTCACTCTCGACAAAAACCAATTTCGTGCTAGATACATGTTAATTGCCTAAAATTTTCAGAATATGTTGGGACCATAGTGAAGACACGATGCTAAAATTTTCATTTACATGTATATGTCATAACATTTGAAAGAGATATTCATCAAATTTTATGTGGAAGAGTTTGTCAGGATGGAGGGCATGGCAGAATTCTTTTTTTTTATTCTTCCTTTTTATACGAAGAAAAAGGATTACCAATTCAATTTCTCCAGAAACTCTTAATTAGTAACGTTCTGATAATAATAGTATTGTTTTATATAATAATAAAAAAAATCATCATTTAAAAAAGGAAACTTTGCGATGACTCGAATCTTGATATATTTTTTCAAAAAAAAAAACATTAGGAAATTGGCGACAACCAAGCTTCTTAGAGAATTCGAAGGTCTGCCATTAAAAAAACGCATCAACAGAGAAAAAGAACAAAGCTTCCGAGCTTTTTCTGAAAATAGCATTTTTCTCTAGCATATGATGATAAAAATCTTAAAAAATTCTGGAAAAAAAGAATGTGCCAAATAAATGAGTCACGTCATTTATGAAAGACTAGGTCTCGGACTATCCTCCCATACATTTATCTTGATTTTGTTAATTCTGACGAAAATTGGCTTTATTTATCGAGAGAAGCTTTAAAAAAGAATACCAGAATGTAGATCTGTCTATTGATCAATACGTATGCGTTTAGTGTCAGATGGACAACTTTTCAAAAACTTAAATGAACTATGGAGCGAATTTTTTTACAAGAATAAAAGAGAAATGATTAATCGAATCTAAATCTCTCCTGTGGGAAATATTGATGCATAGTTGAGCAAGTGAAAGCTCACTATCCAACCGAATACTTTATTTATACATGAAAGAGAGTGATGATAAAATTTACATTTAAGACGTCTGCAGAAAAAGGAATCACGTTGATAAATTACGAGAGTGAGTGAAACAAAAATTATGGTACTGCTGAAGCAGTTTTCATGTCCCAAGTTTTTGAGAGAAAAAAGCTATTTTCACAATCTCTAAAGGATTACAATGTAGCTGCTGTTGCTAATTATAGAATATTGTTTTATTGCATCTATTTTGAAACACAGTTCTTCATTATCCTCTTACTGAATTCTTCAGAAATCCAATTAGGAAATATTTCATATATTAAAACGAATCGTTATTGACTTACGATCTGTAATCGTATATCAACAATTTCAGTCACGATTTGTGACGGAGGAGGAAGAACTGTTCAAATATCTTTCTCACTACTTCAAGAATCCTTTTAGATCGTAATTTGCAATAAACACTTCTACTGTAATAAGAAATGTATGCAAATAATGAAAAGGAATGCTTTATTTTATTATATACAAATTGCGCACCTTTTCTTTTTCTTTTAACTTGAAGATAAATTCTTCACAACCAACAGCATAATGGAATGAACAAGAAAGAAAAGAAATTTGTATGTGTAGCCATACATACTAAAAAAAATAGGCGGAGATCGAAGATTAAAAGATGAATTGTTTCAATTGTCTGAAACGTCTTTTATGCTCAAGACAATACAACCTTCCACATCTAAAATAAAAAACAGAGCGAAAAAAAAAGAAATGAAACGTCGAAAAGACTTCAGTACGAGTTTGCTAGTCAGTTAGTCAACTGTGCTCGTAAAAGATTTAACAACTAAGAGGAAAAAAAACAGGTAAGAGATAGACGTGACATAGAAAAGAAAGAAGAGAGGAAAGAAAGCGAGAATTAAAAATAAGAGAAAACGCGCTGAATGCAGCATTCATTAAATCGTCTATAACATTGTTTCACCATCATTTCGTTTCACAGTACTGAGGTCGCTGCGCGTCTAAAAAATAAGATGAAATCACCTTTTTCAGGACCCGTTCAATAATCTATTCTATTAATGTGACCAAGTCATCTCAGCCGATTCCTTCTTAGGATATTTTCTAGTGAAGACTATACGATTAGTTGGAGCACCATATTATTTCACATTCTGTCTTCTAGTGTAACATCAATGCTGGTTCTCAGATACTGCATGTAAAAAATATTGAGTCGACTCTCTTCATACCAAAGATGAAAAGCTAGAGATTCTTCGATCAAAAGTCAAGCCAGGCCATTTATTGAGAAAGCCAACTCATTAGTTATTATTAAAATTTTCAAATTAAATCAAGTTATAACTAATTCAACAAATCTTCAAGTCAAAAAATGATTCGACTCGCTCACTTTTGCTTCAGATATTGTGAATGTTCATGTCTCCTTTCCATAGACAAGTACTAATAAGTCACCAACTCAAAAGACTTTCAACTTAGCCTCTACCGAAATGCTTTTTCCCTACAAGATTACCTTGCCGAGCATTTTAAATACGGTCGACACTGTGCTATAACGCCCATTGACCAATTCTGCACCACTTTTTCTTCGATTCACACATCCATAATAATTTGATGTAACCGGTTGGCAGATTCACTTGACATGTGTGAGTCATATCGAATGACATGATGAAAAAAAAATCCATTGATAATAAATTAAATGATAGATCTTAGTTCGATTCCAACTGACAACTGCTCTATAATCAATAAAAGAGTTTAAATGGCGGACATCTGTATATGTATCAAATGATTGGTTAATTTACTTTACTTATTAAAATGGACGATTGATAGTATCGAAAACTATTACGAACAATGGATCAGAAAAAAAATTTTATTTGCCTGATTCTAACTTTTTCTCAAAACGAATATTTATCAATTGATTATAATTTCGATCAATTCAAAGAGAAAAATCAGCGACAGGAAAAGCTTAAGTTATTCATATACTACAAAGTATAAAAAGAAAAGGAAACGCATATTTCAATTAGTGTTCATCATGCGAGAAAAACAAATAGCTCAAATAGTTTTCTTTATGAAATGAAAGATGATTGTTTTTTTTTTAATAAAATTATATTTTTCAGATGGCATCGAAAACAAAAAATTCAAAAGAATCAGCATCAACGGCTGTAAGTTATATGAATCTAAGTATAAATTTTGATTTTACTATTATTTTCATAGGCATTACCTATTGTAACAGATCCAGAAATGGCTGAACGCTTTGAACGTGAACTTGCTTGGTGTGTTGGACAACTTGAATGTATGATGAGATCATCATCGACAAAAGATAAAGATCCTCGTAAGTTTTACTGAATTGATTCAAAGATCATAATTATTTTTAGAAATAAAATAAATATTCATGCAATTTATTCTGAGGAAATTTCCCTCAATGTTGTATACTTAATAATATCTGTTCACGACTTGTTGAAGTTAAGGATAGCTCTCCTCTTTTTCAGCCTGTTTTGGTTCACGAAGAGGATACAACTGATTCGTCTGAAATCTTTACCAAGGATAGAAAGCCTAAAATAAGATATGCTCGTAGAAAAAAAAATCTTAAAGAGAATTTTCCATAAGACTACATCGACTCCACTTAGGACTCTCCTCTAACTTTGTCAATAAGACTGTGCATTTTTATTCAGATGCTTTAAATCGCATCTTGGAGACAATTTTGAGCGTTTTCAAAAATTCGTCTTCCTTGTTTTATGAGAGAAATACATCAAGACTAGGATGCAAAACTAGAGTGCTGGTGCTCAGTGATCTGTAAATCCAGATAGGAAGGTCACAAATGAAACTGGTTGATCTTACCTCTGGAGAATATTTCCGTAATAAAAATTTCAGCTCGATCAAACAATGTTAGAATGAATTCGTAAGCGAGCGCAATGTAGTCCTGCAAAGAACCAACAACGATTTTAAAATCCTTGAACACGTGCCTCATCGAAAACTAGAAACGGCCAAAAAAGAGGAAAGAACCATCAAATAGTACTAAAGAGTTGGAGATAATATCTTAAAAATATATAATACATGGAATCATGTCTTTATTACGGACTTGAAAAAATAAATAAGATGAGTACATAATTTATATTCCCTATGAGAAGTTTCTATTCGAACAGTATTGAACTAAATGTAATGAAGCGTTTTTATTTCTTGCGCTCTTGGAAGAAGATTTTCCTCTGTATGATTTATAATGAGAACGTACATTAAATTGAAATATCATCTTCATGCTCTCTAGAGTCTGGAGTTGTCACTAACATAAGATTTTATATCAAATATATTATTTGTCTTTATAATTTAACTTATTTCTTTTTTATATTAAGAAATAAACAATATGAAAATTTATTTATAGCTCGATCAGCTCTACAAGTTTTAACAAATCCTAAGGCATCTTTAATTCGTAAACGACAAATGATGCAACAATTATTTGGTGATTATCGTCAAAAAATGCATAATGAAGACATAGCTAGACAAACACGTATGTGTACTAATATTATCATCTTTTGTCTTAATATAAAACTTTACATTTTATCATTAGGACATAATCAAATTCGAGTAAATACGAAAAGTGAAATTCCATTATCTTCACGTTTTGTCCGTCGTACTCATCATAATAGTGACTCAATAACAACAAAAGACAATACATTTTCATTTAATTTTGATATTCCATTACCGGATATGGATAAAAATTAATTTTTTTTGTTATATCTTTATTCTAGATATGTCTATTGAACAAAATCTTCTTATTAATATAATTGATCAAATAGTATTACTTGATGAGAATTTTTCATCGAATGGTAAAGTTAATATTAAATAAAAACATTGCATATAATTGATTTTATAGATTTAAATGCAATACGAACATTTAAATCAACAGCAGCGTCATCATCAAATTCGTCGACTAATAGTTTATTACAAGTATGTTCTTTTTTTTCTATTCAGAGAGTTTATATCAACAAAATTTTAAACTTGTATTGATGTTTTTTATGTTTATTTCAAATTTTCGCCGAATGTCAAAAACCTATTATCAGTAAAACAAGGTTTTATATTGCTTGAGAACGAAGCCTTGACTAGTTCATTTCTCATTCAGAATTCTACTTGTATTTATAAGAGAAAAGTATGAACAATTATCTTAATTTTAGCTATAAATGAGTTTTCAATACAGTATATTCTTTGACGGCTTATTTGTCGTCCAATTTGAGTCTCTTATAGTTTGAAAACGAAAAATCCAAGGCGAATTTTGCATACAAACACCAGATGTAGACTGTATTAGAGATATTTTTCAATCCTTTCATGAAAATGAGCCACAATCGAATATTTAAGCTGTTACAACAGTCTATTTCATTCCACAGATAAAAGCATGCAGAATGATGACTGAATATCTTCTAGTCAAGCGATGCAAGGCATAATTTGTCCGATAAATTCATGAAGAAAACACACACGATTGAATATAAATTGTCAAAAGTTGATATTAATGGTAGAAAACAACTTTAGCAATTAAGAGAATTCACTTTTTACCGATAAAAACTGTATTTTTCTTTTAAATGATTTACTGAAAAGTATTGATTAAAAACAAGTTTTCACAAAATACATATAAAGAGCTAGTTAAATTCAAAAATAAACTTTTTCGCGGTATTTTTTTCACATATTTTGAAAAGAATGGATTTACATATTTCAGATGATGGTTATCGTTTCATAAACCAAGCTATACCACATAAAATTTTAAAGAATATATTATAATATTGAAAACAGAACATTCAAGTCGATTGGACTATTTAAGAGATGTACAATATTATTTTCCACAACAGACCTTGAAAACTCCATAAGCCACCTTTTAAAACCATCTTTCTTAAAATGTTGTTCTGATTCCTATAACGTTCAACATAATTTGCGGCGAATTATAAAATATTTAATTTCAATATTTAGTTCCAAGTCGGACAATGTTTTTGTCGTAGTACCGGAATGATGAGAGCGAAAACGGATATTACATATCTTTAGTCTCGAAAAAGACGAAAATGATTGCGAGCTATGCACTGTATCGTTTTTCGAAATTATGAATACTTTGATAAGATTTGAAATATTATTTAAAGTATTGATTTACATCTTTCAATTCTCAGTAGTTAGTGCTGAGCGGAACCAATTGTTTTTGGTTCTAGTTTCGTGCTTAGTAATACATGTGTACTAGTGAAAAATACCATATCATTTTTTTAGCAGGTATCAACAAGTTTGAGACATCTTCCATAATCTCTAATATTCTTTCTTAACAGGAAATAGTCAAGTAATCATTATTCAGTAATTTTTGCCTAAACTTTTAGAACATATGAATCGTGAGAATATGATATTTGCCGTAAGTCTTACAAGATCATAAAAGCTATCACTTCCAATGAAAAAAGTATTGATCCTGCCGGAATTGGAACCCTCTTGCCCGTATCTGTCTGTAGTACATATGAAAACATTCGATAATCTGAAATCTTTCAGAGAATATGTCAAAAAGTTGGACCAATATCAATTTACACTTATATTCATTAACAGGCTAAGATCAATCATTTCGATTTCATTTTCTAGATCTTACCTGTTTCAGTACAACGTCAAGTAAATGAATATTTAAATGAAATAATTGAACAACTTGTTCTTTGTACAGGTATGTTGAGTTTTATTCATAAGCTTCTTTTATATTTAATTTCCTTTAGGTGTTAATACAAAATCTCAATTACCAAATACAATATCTCATATAATTAAACGAACATTATCTAGTCGAAAAGAAATAATGATAAAAAATGGTCATTTTATAAAACAAATTCAAGCACTCAATGAACTTTATTCAAAATTAAATACACAAATTCAAAATGTTTGTATTGAACAATTAAAAATGATTAAAGCTAATGATTTAAATACAAGTCATATTGATACACTTCGTGAACAATATCAATTATTACTTAAACAAATACAGTATATATTAAACAATAATTTAACTTTGTCTTTTTCTTTGTCCTATTGAATTTGTCTTCTTTATAGATTACGTCGGTGTGAATTTATTCGTGATATATATACAATGGAAAATATTGAAATATTACAAAATATGAAGTATAATGATATAAAAAAATCTTCTATTGACTTTTTCTTTTAAACAATTGAAATTTCTTTGTTTAGATTAGATTGTGAAGAAAAACAACATCAATATGATGAACAAATAAATCATTTTAAAAAACTTGAAATGGCTATTAGTAATGAAGGTGTTCATTATCAACATTTAATAAAACGTTATTATGAATTATGTGATGAATTAATCAATGCTCAAAATGCACTTAAACGACTTAAACAACAAAAAGAAAATAGTTCAATTTAATAACATTTCTTAAATATATATTAAAATTTATTGTCTTGTAAATTTTTCTTCAGATATGTAAAAACAAAAAGTATATTCATCATTATCAACATTGTCAAATAAAAAAATAAATCAATAATAATTTTATAATTTGATTAGTTCAAATTCATGTTGAACATTTGATATCTAATTCGAAAAAAATGGACTGCAGTTTATACAATAGTGGGCAAAAGCCTCCTACTCGTGGTATCTCAACTATTATACATGTTATATAGGTTGGAAAATTGTCTGTACATACTGCACAAAGAATGTGGGTCTCAGACCTGAGCTTACTTCGATTGTTTTAATGGAGCAAGAATTCTGATGGATCGTGTCTATTTATTCATTGAAGTTCATAAATCCTTCTTAGAATTGCATCCATTTTTATGTGGTCATTTAACTGAAAGAAAACTATCTGTTGGTCTTTGAAGACTGTAATTCATTAATAGTTCAGTGAATTAAGCTGAAACTTGTACATAACATTTGTCTGTCGTTGAGCATTATTACATACAAGTTTCATTAAAAAAACCTTCCACAAAATGATATTCTTATCCGAATACTGAGGATTCAGACACAGCAATCGTCAATTAATTTGTGATCTATTGACAAAAAAAGCAAGAGCATAGACTGCATACTATTTGCATGCTAAAATATCACAAATTAGTCAATGTACTCAATAAGAGGTAAAGAAAAATTTAGTAAACAATTTTTTTGTTTTTAGACTGAAACCATAAAGCAAAAAAAGGCATTCTTCATCATCCATATAGATATATTCAAGCAATCGAGACATTTTTGAATAACAAACAAAAAAAATAAATTGAATTATTAACCTTACAATCTTTGTTTAGGCTTTTTTTTTCTTCTGATCGAAAACTAAACTGTCACTTGTCTATTTATGAAATTCTTTAAAGACAATGGGTCAAAATATGTGGTCGTAAAGATCACAAGTTGTCGTTATGATAATAAATGATAAGAAAACTTTTCTTTTGTTGATAGTGTTTGAAAAAACCAACTATAATAAAGCATTAAGGTGATGCCATCGAAATTTTTCATATTGTCTTTTATACAACTAAATATTTAAATCTTAATGAAACAAAAACACTTACGAACTTCTGACGGAAAATTAACCGGAAAGAATTTTCTTTGTGTTTAGTAAACTTTTGTCAGATGATAATTTGGGTGTGAGTGTGGGTGTGGGGTGTGGGTGTGGGTGTAAGGTGTGGGTGTGGGTGTGGGTGTGGGTGTGGGTGTGGGTGTCGGTTTTGAGTGTGGGTGTGGGTGTAAGTGTTGGTCCTCATACACCCACACCTACATCCACACCCACACCCACACCCACACCCTCAAATCCCACACCCACCCACACCCATCTCCTAAACTATTGGTCTGGGACCATTGGGAATACTTTTAATGAACTCCCCAGGGTCTAATTAGTCGAATTAAGTGAATAGATGAGGGGGGGTCGATAAGTGTATTTGTCCCCTGTGAGTAACAGAAAAAAAACACAATGATGATGCATATACAAAAAAAAGATAAATAAATCACGAGGGTGATATTTATGAAAGATTGTTTATCCTTTAAAGTACACAAGCATTTTCTAATGTAAAAGAAAAATGAATACTAACAATAAAATAATAAAAGATATTGGCAATTTAACAACAACATCATCGAATAGTTGGCATACTGTTTCAACACCTTCAACCAATGATGATCAATTAAGAAAAATATTATCTTATGCAATACCAATATCATGTTTTACTATATTTTTTATTATTGGTGTTTTTATTGCTATTCGTCAACGTCAACGTATTCTAGATAAATGGAGTTCATTAAAACGAATGAGAAATACAAATCCAAAATTTCTTCAAAATACTGGTTTACGACGTGATTCTGAATTTGATTCATATAATCATGATCATGTAAAATCAACAGTAATAAATCAAGAAAATCTACTTCATAAACAACGACAATATCATTTAGCAACAATTGCATAATATAGAAGAAAATTTTAGTGTATATATTATGATAATCTCTTGTTCTTTTTCTTGTCTTTGTCTTTGTCTTTCTAATACGAATGATTTGTTTCGAACGAATTATTTAATAAAAATTTGTTTTGTCTTGAAATATATTATCGAACAAGTAATGAACAGCGAAATTTTTATCAAACGAAAAATTACCAGACGTTCAGTAATCAGTAACAAAAAAACTACAAGTATTATTAAAAAAAATTGAAATTCATTACTGAGAGTTGAATAAGAATTTCCAGGTTTGTTGCTTCCTTGGCTTTCAATTCGTTTCTTCTACGAAAACTATTACATTTCAGTCGAGACTAGAATAAAAAGCGATTCATCTCACTTGTATCTACTCATGAGACCAATATTTCTGATCTCGTTTAATACGTAATTAAATCATAAGTATGTCGATTAAGATTGTCAATCATTTCTATCAGAATTGTAAATCTTGTTATATTTTATATGTGGCAAACTTCATGTTATCGCGATTATTATGATTAATTTCTAACAAATAGAAATATTATGCAAGAATTCTGAAAATATTTATACAAACAATGAATCTACATACACAATGATGGATTGTTTTATCGCATCCCGTTCCGCAATATAATACTAATTGTTTCTGTATCGTATTACTATGAATAAGAATGATGCGTTTATCCATTGCAATTCCACTTCACTTCAAATTTGATCACATCTAGATTACGAACTCAATCAGACAAGAAGTCGGTTGAAATCTGTGATCAAGTATCATTCATACTGCTTGTTTTTTTATCTACGTAATATCCTTTTGCTATTAAGTAAATTCTCTGACGCAACATAAACACCTCTTTTTATCGTATTATTACTTATTGATGAATATCCCTAAACCAAAGTAAATGTTATTTATATTCATTCACATAACGGCGACATATAAAGAGTAAATACATCATTTTTTTCTTCTTCAAAATAAAAGAAAAAAAAATCTTGAGAATAGATTTACTGTAAGAACACATATAAATTTTTGAAATTTTTGAGACAATGTACATAAATTTATATAAAGATGATGAATAGAAGAAAAATGTACTGAAAGATAGAGAACCCATATGAAGATCATAAAGATACTACACGAGAGATTGATAGTAGCTATCATCATTTATCTAAGGTCCAAGGAAATATTATAGAAGTAATGAGTCTAATTTCAGGAAGAAACAAGATAAATGAGAGTACAATACTAATGATAGGTTCAGGATTTATTTGAAATCGTGGGTCCATAGTCTGTAAGAGTTGTCTTTATCATCGGAGTATTACAAGAGACTACTAGCTTTACCTTCACATGACTAAAGATGGATGAGTCTTCATGAAAACTTTCGAGTAACATCACTATAAGAGACATGCTGAAATCTCATATCGAAAGAATTAACATCTAATGTACTTGATTTAACATGTGGAGAACTTATGCATTGATAACAACAATTTAAGATTGATTGTTCTAATGAAAAACTTGATCGTAAGAATTTTCATCGTATTTTTTTTATAAATTATTACATCGTGATAAACCTCAACAGCTTGATTTTGTTGCTGATTATATTTTTAATACATTTCATTTTGATAAATCAGGTTATTTATTATTTGAAGAATTTTTTTCTTGTATATACTTTTGTTTATCATATCAAGATTATCAACGTCAATTAAGTTTTTGTTTTCAATTCTATAATATCAATCAAAATAATAAGATATGATGCAAAAGTACTGAGAAAAATGTCCGACTCTATTTCTCGTCGATAGACAAATGTTGACAGAAAACTTAATTTACTAGAAGATAGACAATATTTTTCTCTTTTATATCAGTTATAACTCTATTTTTACCCCATGTCCGTAGATTACAAAGCAAGGCATTCAAAAAAAAAACAATGAATTTTTATACAGTTTATTTTATGAATCAATATAAAAATTACAAATTCATTGTGTGAGCGTTTTTATTTTTTCTCGTATGTATTTTCTTTATGAATGTATAACAAAATTAAGTTTTATACAATTCGAAAGAAAAGAACATTTTCTATCAACTGACAAAGAAAAATATTATTCCAACACATGTTTACTAAAAACGATATAGGAGCTGATATTCTCAATTGTTATTCTACATTATATGAAAAGTGTAGATCTATTTTGAGTGTTTCTTTTTTGTGCTGCGACATTTTATTTATCAACATGTAGTACATATAAGTTATATACGATACAAAAGAGAGAAAAATTTTCTATCTTCTGATAAATAAAGTATTTTTTTGTTTCAGCACCTTTCTACTGAGAAATAGTGTCCGACATATGTCTCATTACTGTTGCATCATATGTCATAATGAAATATGATGAACTTGTATTTGCTATAGAAAAAAAGCTGTTAATGCAATTCCTGTAGGACAAAAATGTGAAACACGATGTAGCTGTTGTTGCTTATCACAGAGAGATTGCTTCCTTCTATCTATTCAGGGACACAGTTCTTCACCATCGTTTTTACTTAATCCCCCAGTAATGCTATAAGGAAATATCTCATATATATCATAACGAGACGTCATTGACATACGGCCGTTGATCGTATATCAACAATGTCTGTCGCAACCTGTGACACGAGAAAAAGAGAGTGCAACCATGATGCCTGTGAAGGAGAAAAGGGTGTTGCTAAGGCATCTGTCACAGTTTATGACTCGAGGACGATGCGTTGCTAAAATGTCAGTCATGTTTGTAATGGCCATTTCTAATGTGTCTGTCGTTGTTTGTGAGAGATGCGAATTTCGTGTTTCACAAAACGTATGAATAACATAGTTTGAATCAAGTAATAATATTGAAATTTTTACACGATAAGTATTTGATCGAAATATTAAAGACGAGCATATTACAGAAGAAGAATTCATTGCTGGATGTTTATTTATTTCGACAAATTGTTTTTTTCTGTACTTTGAATTATTTGTTTTAAAAAAAAGGAAAAGATTTAAATAAACACAGCAGTACAAAAAAGAAAAGAACTCGAATTCACTGTTTCTACACATAGACTATGAATATATATATATATATGTAATTTTTTTTCTCTCGTATAATCAAACAGTAATTGATTCATTAAGATTAAGTGTTATCGGTAAAATTTCTGGCATAACTGAGTGATGTATTAAAAGTGATAGAAGTGTTGGAAATTGTTTTATAGTTCCTTTAATGCGATAAACAGGACTATTATTAACCATAGTTTTTTCAATAAGATAATGAACTATATTTGATTCATGTGTGAATTTTGGAACTTTTATTGAAAGTGCGTAACAATCAGGTTGTGTTGTACTATCTCGTAGAATAAATGCACCATAATCAGCTTGTTGAAGGACATCGCATACTGCTTCTCTACAAAAATAATAAAAAATCGAATGATTTCAACAAATTAAAAAAAAAAAGAAATTTATAAAATATTGATTTGAATTACCTTTCTAGATATGGTCTATACCAACGTGATATTGATTTCAAATCATCAGTGATATTAGGGAGTCTATAAAAAAAAAGAAGAAGAAGCTATTTCAAATTGTGTTGCAAGCTACAACCTCCTAATATCCATAAAAGTAAAAGTTGATAAAATCAATCTAGAACTAGGTGTTTGGTAAAAGTCATATTATCAAATTTCGAATAGAGATTTTATAGCATAAATAAAAAGCTTAGCTATGAAAATATCTTAAAAATTTCAATTAAAACATATGCCTCTTTTTAATATTGAAAAACAAAGGTCAATTATAAAACTATTCTATGAAATACAATCGTTTTTGTTTTTTGACTACTCAATATCTGGAGAACAGAAGTATTTGCTTCAATCAACACTTTTAAGATATCAGCAATTTCATTCGTTGCCAATGAAACTTCGCAAAAAGTAAAGATGCTTATATTTTTGTACTAGAGATAGGCAAGATCATAGTTGAAGGTTTCAATTAAATATTCTATAGCCGTAAGTGAATTATCTCATAAATTATATCAATCAAAACATAATTAAAGAGAGATAATGCAAAAAATAGCACTAATCATCAACTAAACATATCAAAACAACAAATACTGAAGGACCCTTTTAGATGTGATACGAATCAATTCTGGAATAGTTTTCTCTAGACTAGGACTAGAAAAAAATCAACTTTCTAGACTGTTTTCCATTGAATTAGCATTGAAAAACTAGCGCTAACGACGTAAGCAATCACGAATATCGCAACAAAAAATGCTCTTGAAATTGAATGGTGAAGTTCATCAAACAAGTCCATATCGGAGCTCTCAAGATGGCCGTAAAATAAAAGATCTCGTTCTGAAACATGAGCACACTTTTAGAAAACCGATCTTGCTAAAAATTTTATCATAGATATAGTTTATAATGTGGAATCTATTTTGAAATCTTAGTACATATTCAATAGAAGGTTAGAGAGTTATTCACTAGTTATATTTTAATTAATTAACCAATTAAGTTTGAGCTGAAAGAGTCAATAGTTTTACATATATTCATTGAAAAAGAACTTATTCAAAAAAAAAAACAATTCTTATAAAGAATCAAAGAGTTAGACGATATAATTTATTCCACATGAAAACTTCAATGAAGTTACTATAGTTTTCGATGAAATAAATACGATTACAGAACTCTATTCAAACAAAACAAAACAAACCTCATTAAACTTGCTTGTTTTTTCTTTAAATGTCGTTTTTGTTCTTTAGTATAATATTCTTCTTTAAGATCATCAAGTTTTGTTACAGATTTACTTGGCATAGTCAATGGTACAGATAATGATGAACATATTGCCATCGTTGAATAATACTTATTATTACATGAACATATATTATTAATAACATTCTCAGTTTTATTATCTATATTTGATAATGGTTGATGAGAAAAATGAGAACGACATGAATTGGAAGAATATTTTCGTTCTTGTTGATTCAACAAACATGTTGATGATGATAGACGACATGTACATGGTATACAACAAATATTTGTTGAATCGGGTGTTGTTACATTCACCGGTATTAATGTACATGATATTAAATGTACAGGAATAAATTTTGATGATAACATTGGTATATCACTATAACCTGAATCAGTTGATATTGATGATGCATTTGTTGATCGACGTAAAATACGACGAGAAATATTTCCGTGTTGTTTTTTATGATCATCATTAAATAGATATTTTAAACTTTCAAGAGAATCTTCATCATCATGTTGTTTAATTGTTTCTTTTGAAACATCAAAATCAATATAATCAAAAATTGAAAGTGATTTTTGAAATTCCGAAGCAAATGATGTTTTTGGTAATTGTTTTTGTTGTTGATATGTTGATTGAGATGACAATGTTTGAATATTTGGATCATGATAACGATAGATACGTTGTGAAACATTAGAACTACTATTAGAATTAAGAAGAAAATGTTCAGAATTTGTAGATAATTTTGAATGAGATTGATGATGATGATGATGTGTGTTCTCTTGAGTAATATTATCAATCTATAGAATACAAAAATAAGATGAAACAAGAAAAAAATAATTATATAAGTCATGAGTTACTTTATCTTTTATCTCCATTGGAGATAAATAACCATCTTCATCAAAACTCTTTTGATAATTATGTAAGAATTCATGTGAAGAGTTTTTTTTTGTTTCTTGATTTTTATTTAATTCATAACATGTTTCACGAATTTTTTCATTTGAAACTGTATTACGACGTGGTCGATGAAGAGCTATAAGACGTCGTGCCTATGAAACAAAAAAATAATATCAATGCCGTTACTAAGAAATCATTTTGAAAGAAAATTGAAATTTTATTTACCCAATCTCTACTCTTCTCAAGTAAACTTGTACGTCTTTTAAGTGAACGTGTTGAATTCGGTAGGAGAAGCTTATCATTAACATCTAAATTTTTTGCTTCTTCATTATAAAGAAGCATAGAATTTTGTTTCTGTAATAATCTATTTGATATTGATAAATTATTTGAAGAAATCATTAATAGTAAATATTGATTTCAAATCAAATTGTAATTTTCCTTCTCCTGTTCTACGTCGTTGTTATTATTGTTTGAATTCGAAAAAAAAATGATGGTGTTACGAAGGAATTATTCGAGGACATACATACACATACCATCATCTACAACAAAAAAATAAAATAAAAATGGGGAAAAGAATTAAAAGAAATGTGTATGAATTTCTATGGTATTCTTATTGATGATGATGATGATGATGATGATGATGATGATGTCATCATCATCTCTACTAGAATCCACAGTGAGTAGGAATGTAAGTAATTATGAAAGATGATCGATAGATAGATCAAGCTGAATGTTATTGAACGATTATCATATGATGTAAGAATTCTTTGTTTTAACCAGGTCAACATGAAATATGCCGAGAAAATAAAGAGAAACAAGCACGACAGGCGACAACCTTCGTCCAAGGTCGCTTATAAAAATGCAACGATGGATGTTGATCGATATGATCTCTTATATAGGCAGTTGCAAATAAGTGTTAATGTACTTTCTAAATATGTCCTAACAAAAAGAAGATAAACTATTCGGTAAACATTTCGGCATCGTAAAGGTCATCAGTCGTTGAAATCATTATCAATTGAAAAAGAAAAGACGAAATATATGAAAATGAACAATCATTATCACCCAATCAAAACATATATTAATTAACTTTTACAATCTCTATCTGATCTCAACAAGAGATCGCATCTTACTACTAGAATGTACTATTAATCATAATAGAAATATATAGAAGAATGAGACTTGTCTCGCCGTCTACTTACCTGTATATTATTACTTACCGCTGTGATAGATCAAGATTGACATTTTGGTAAATAATAGACCTTGAGCAAGTGAATAAATTAATATATATGACAATGAACTTTGATAGAATTTATAAGAGGATTAAAGATGTGTTGTTCAAAAATTCAAGTACTTTTCGTTGCTTCATGTTTCTTTTTTTTTTTGTTCATTGAATGTCCCTGAGAAAAATCGAAATAAAAAAAAATGCCATTGAATTGTTCTTTCATCATACACGCAAATTCAACACATCGTTGCATAAAAAACCGACTACTTGACGAAGAAGAGCAATGAATAAAATAATAGTGTCATAGAGAAAAGAATAGACTCTGATTGTCAATAAGTGTCAATAGAAGGGACAACATATGTTACAATGTCGACACCGGCAATAAAACAATACATGCATACATATACACCTTGTACATGTGTCTGTATGCATGTAGAAATCAATCACATTGATTGTCACGGTCTAAACATACATATACTTATGCAAAAAGATATATATGAAGAAGAAGCGTGTCCCCAAAAAGACGACGATCAACCATCACTATTTATTATGGAGCAATAGGATGACGTAAGCATAAACGAGAGAATACTTGGGTACATGCTTTCGCCCTCAAACTCATCATATTCACCACATATATATATATGTATATATCATGAGAAATGAGTGGTCACTACGTGCGTAGCAGAACGTTATTTGACGACGCGTCTTATTTATTACTAGGCTTCATCTACACATCAGTTTGGTTACCTGACAATACGACTAGATGACGGATTCTTTTTTTATATGTGTACTATAGGAAAGAAAAGATTGCTAGTCGACATAATTAATAGTTAGATCATAACCTATTAGTATAGGTAGTGTACTTTATATTTTTCTCACTGTGTCTGCATATTTTACATATTACTTATTGATCATTCGGTAAAAACTTGGAATAAACACTTAACATATCAGATTGATTTCATGATCAGCTCATAAGAAAAGATTCTCTATCGTTAGTTGAATATAGATAAACTTTTTCGTTTGATAAAAATGAATAAATAGTTGGTAAAAAAAAAGAACATGATATAGCCTAGTATTACCAATGGCCAATCAACAGTGTATGCTAAATGATAAGACCAGTTCTTTTACATGTCAAACACACAAAAAAAAACATATAAGAGACCGATAATGATGGAAGAGAACGAACAATAGAGACTTGTCGACAAAAAAAACTTGAGCATGCTCTCATACAAACCTCTCTAGTCACAAACAAATATGATGTGATGATCACCATTCTCTCTTTCTCTTCTTGCTTTGCATAGTTGAAAGAGAAGAAAAAAAGAAAGAAAAGAACAAACTGGGCTGGCTAGCAGACAATTCGTATAAAGTATGGACAAACAAGGGAAATAAACGAGAGCGGAAGGAATATAAACCGATGCACTTATTTCCACTTTTTTGTCTTCAATGGCTGAGAGGCAAGCAGACATTTGGTCGTTGAAGTGATGACGATTGATCGATTACTATCTAAACATATAAAACAACGCTCTCACCTCATTTTATATACGTAACCAACATCACGAATAGAAACAAACAAATACGTATATTTATATCGCCTATAAGAAACTAATTGTAAGATTATTACTACTGTATGACCCATTTACAAATCAGTCAATCGCGTGTATAGATGCAATTTTTTTTTGTATTTCTATCGTCTAGCTAGACATATAAATGATCTCTTCTTATTTTGTTTCTTTCGATACTAATAAGTTGACCAATAAATGTTATAGACAGATAAACACTTGAGATAAACTATATTTGAAGGACATATATAAGTTAGATATGGAATTGAATTAGCCATTTCTTTTATCATTCTATTGCTTAGCTAGGTCACTGATAGTATGGTTGATGTTTAACATGTGTATGAGCCGATACACATGCACTGTCTCTCTCTTTTTCTTTTGTCATTAATAATAAAAAACAAAAAAAGAATATGACCTAAAGATGTATATGAATACGAGGGCAAATAGCATATATACATATAATTATCTTGGTACAAATAGTTATCGCAATGAAACCTTGTCATTACCTGCATATTATTCTATCTAATGATATCTGTAGTGCGTTGACAAAAAAGAAAGAAACGAAGTGTCAATACAACATCGATAACGGCATAATATGTTAGTTGAATTGTACATATCCATTTACTTGACTTCACAATTTTGTGTCAAGATATGCGAAGATCAACAATGATATTGAGAAAAAAAATCAATTTAGAATTTATCGATTTAAATACTTTAATATCTAATTTTAATGTATAGACTGAATAGAAACAACGTAATGATGTTTAAATATCTATGTGGATATTAACATCATTTAATAAATCGAACTTCAAAAATTAATTATATTCTAGATCTCAAATAGTAAGTCCGATAGATTCATAAAAATGCATATATATATGGCATTGAATCAATTGACGCTTTAATAATTAGTACTTTTCTTGCATCAATAAGGGCATATTGTAATTTGAGTTGTTTATTCTTCTAATCAATATCATGACAGCACAATATTTATATCATCAGCAAAAATGATACTACTTTTTTTCTGGAAACGAAACAGTTTACATGAGTAGACAATGTAATAATACAATTGTTTGTGTGACCATAGTTACTTAATAACAATCATTATATTATCGTTTACACTGATATAAATATGATTTATGTTATCACATATGTTGAATATCAAATATTCTATTAGATTTCACACAAATTGTAGAATTTTCTAATTAGAGTTTTAATGATATTTTTATTTTATTGATATTTTATCTACAATAAGAATTTATGTGATCTATAGTTTGAGATTAATGCAAACTTTTGAGAAAAAATAAACTGAACTTTTTCCTTAGAACATAAGAAAAATAATGATTATTGTAGATAAAATCTTATAGGATTGAATTACTCAATTTTTTGCTCGAGTCCATTTTGAACTATTAGCTATGCTTACTCATGTGAAATCAATTGATTTCAGGATACATGTTAAAAGTATTTCTCAAATAATCTTTCATTAAAAATTCATCACTTTGGTTACAAAATTGAATATAGTGATTGAAAGCCGTTGAATTGTTTAAGTACCTAGAGCATCTAAAAATTCAGTAGTACTTTACAAGTAGAATACAATGATTATAAAATAATTATGATGTGTGTGAATGCAAGATAACAAAATAAAAACGTCTTCATGAATGTATGGTTGGAGGCTGTTATAACGACTTTCAATGTCACGAGCATTACCCTATAATCTTTGCATTCTGATTCTGTTGATAAGTAGTTTTAGAGAATTATTGATATACCATTGGTGATTAGGAGCCACCACATTTTCTATATTTCTTCATTTTCAGACTGTATTTGACTAATTGTTTTAACATGTTTTTAAGTTAATTTGCACTTCGAATTCAAAAAATAATAACCGATTAATGTGTGACATATTTATAACTTATGACTTACTCAATCAATTTATGTATGTATTCCCTATATTTTCTAGTCATTGATGTTTAACAAAATTTGATTGATTCAAATAGTTTCTAATCATTGTTTTGAGTACTGTAATTAGGAAAATGATTCAAAAAAACAATTTCAATAAATGTCTTCAAATTCAATTGAACGTGTATGAATAAAATATAGCTACATACTTACTCAAACTTTGCTCGAATAATAACTTGACTAATTCAATCGTGCAGTGTGAATAGCTCTGAATTGAAGAAAGTCATAGAGTCAGATAGTTCTCAAATTTTGTCAAGTTTCATCGAGAATTTTTTTCTAAATAAGATATGACGTTAAAAAAGTGTCTACTATAATAGAAAATGTCTCGCGATTAACAAAAATCTGACTAAATACTTGTTCAAAATCTTTTAGTTACTTTGATTCTTTGATCAATTCAGTTGACAGAGTTCTAAATAGTTTTTTTTCTCAAAAAATGTGATTTCGTACATTGAATACTATTGTCTAATGTTACAAAATTGCCATGGTTGATAAGGAAACCATTCAAAGTGATTCGCCGATTTTGGCTATATACATTCACAAGATACCTTATAAAAATCACAGTACCATTATCCATGACATGAGTCTGATCAAGTTACTAACGGCTATTTGTCTCGAATCATCCATCTGATAGCATGCAGTCTAGATCAGGCTAGCCTTCTGCCCAAAGCTACAGCTATATCAGTTGTAGGAAAAATATTGGACTATCAAATCTGCTCTTCAAATTTGAAAAACTAATCAGAATGTATTTTATAAGAAACATCACCAACAATAGCAACACTGATGTTTAATCAATTCGTGCAGGACTATAATAAGATTTTTTTTTATTAATAGAATTTATGTGACAATTAGAGTCTCTATGAATAACATAAATTAAAATGAAAGTTTCTTTTGAGATATAAAACAAAACAGCACTAAAAGGTTAATGTTCTCTTTGAAGGTTGTAACCGTGGTGATTCTGGAGATGAAATACGATTAGTTATTGTACCACTATGCATATGTTTAAGTTGATAATTTGCTTGAAGTCTATATTCTTTATTGCATAGAATATATCGATGATAGAAAATTTTCAATTGAACTGAATAATCATAAAATGTTTCAACTGTTGTTTGACGAAATCGTTGACCAGCCAAACAGTAAAATATGAAATTTGTCTAAAGAAAATCAAGAACAATTAATGTTATTTCTTATTTGTTTCTTTAAACTTACAGCATTATGTAATTGTGAAATTAAAACAGATATTTGTGAAAAAAGAAAAAAACGTTTTAATCTATTTAGGTCGCTATGGTTTGGTGGGAAAATCTCAGCAATAAACATAATCACAGCTGGCGTTGAAAATAAATAAAAAGTAAGATTTACTGTTACAAGCATTATAGTTAATTGACGTTGTTTACGATTTGCATGAATATCTCTTATATGCATATTTAAATTTTCATCATTTAATGATTGTTGTTTATGTCGTTGATATAATGAATAAACAGTATATAAATTCGATAAGAGTAAAATATCTGGTACAAGAAACATTACAATTGGGTGATAAACACGAAGAATTAATTTAAATTCTCGACGTACACTACATTTTTTTCGTTCTGAATTTATATTTATATTATATATTATTGGAAATGTTGTAGAAAAAAGTATAATTGAAACTGTTAAAAGAATATAAATAGAATAACGTGCTGAATTAACAGTGCAAAAACGTTTGGCTAGAAATGGAGATGTAACAGCAACACAACGTTCTAAATAAAACAGAGAAAAAAAACATTTTACAAAAAAGTTAAAGTTTTTTAAAATTTTTAATATTTGATTTATTTGGTTAACGTATGAAATATTGTATTATAGTATTGTACACCTTTATTTATGAGCTAAGTGAGAATAAAAATAAAAACCAAAGCAGGAAACAGATTATTGAAGATCTTGATATCGATATGTGATAGAGAATTGTTTAACGAAAATTGTAAAAAAAGCAAAATTAAATCTGTTGATTCATTAATTTTGAGCTCATATTTTGAACATATAGAGAGAATCTATTGTCTGAAATAACTCGAAAAAGATTCCGCCTAATAGATCTTTGTTACAGAATGATCACGGTTTTGCTGAATGATTAGCATAAGACAGGCATTGACAAGAAAATTTAACAAAAGATTTTTGACTTATAGTTTTGTTTGTAAGGGTAAATCTCATGATTCTAAGAATGTCAGACAAAAAGATTAATTCTTTCGAATAATATTCAATGTTAGACAATCAATTAGATTTCAGTAACTATTAGAGCAATTGAGACTTCGCAAATTGAATATTTCAAGAAGAGATCAATAATTGTTTAACTGAAACTGTGTGAATATTCTTTACATCATGAGAGCATTTGTTTTATTTTTTTCTGTCAATACTCCATCCTACGGTAGAAATCCAGAAAAAGTGTCGTAACTTTGTAATTATTCTAGCCTACAAGTCATTTCTATATATAGAAAAATAGACAATCGCGTTGTTCTCAAAACAATTTTTGTCATGAAAACAAAATGCAGAAACGTTCCTGTTCGATCGACCTTAATTTTTTTTCACATATACTATAGATTGTTCGAGATGGATATGTTTTTTTTGTTTCAAAAAATATTTTTCTGCTGATTTTTGCTAGCTCTTGCAAAAAAAACTTTATAAAGAAAACATGCGTTTTTTGGATACCTTCGATATTTTGGCTTTTGTATTCGAAGGACAAAAAGGAAAAAGAAAACCACCACAGACAGTGTCCAGTGCCGATAAAAAAACTTTTCAGCTCGATCAACTGTAGCATCTTGAAAAAACGGGGGCCATTTTTTGCTATTCTGATTTCAGTATTTTATAGAAGACAGCATCCGAAAACTCCAAGTCTGTGACAACTTTTGGTCTACTGGTTAAGATCTATGTACTCTGAAAGTTTCGATCTTTTTATGAATCGTTTTTGAAGAACTCCGGAAAGATGGAGGGAGATAGCCTCGATTCTATAGGATTGCAATAAAGAAGTAGTTCATATATTATAATGAGATATTACTAATTTACGATCTGTGAAGACATGTTGCTAAGATATAAGACCAAAAACAATGAATCATTTCGAAGTTTCTTCATTAGTAAAATATAACAAAAATAATCATTTTACAATGAATAAAACATTTTTGATTAGGATGTAAGAAACTTGTTTGTTTGAAAAATTTTACTAGACTAGATTCTTTGATGTAGATACAAGCATTTTTTATATTGATATTATAAATAATTTCCTAAACCAAGACTATTGACTACGTCAACAATCGTTTAAGTGTCAATATGATTATGTTTACGTATGTGTATCATTGATTTTCATTACTCCTTTTTATCACTCATTGAGAAAATACAACTATCAACTCAAACCGTCTTTTTTCTATACAATATTATTAGTCTATTATCGCTTTATATTAGTGCAAAGTTAGATACTATACCTCAAGCAGATAAACTTTTTGAAAAATGCGTTTAAACGCACAAAAACGGCAAAAAAATGGATGTGTTGGGCTCACAATTGGGAACCGCGAGTATCAGCCAAAAACGTCCACTTTTTGCTGATTTTAGGCAAATTTTTGTGCGCTTAAATGCGTTTTTCCAAAAGTTTGTCTGCTTGGACCCAAGCTAGACACATGACCATTACATTCAATTTTTCGTTGATTTTTGTAGCTTATGATAAAATAGAACTGATGATGAAAGCCGAAATATCGCAAAAAGTTTGAAAAAAATAACAAATAGAAAATTTAATTTCTGTAAAAATTCTCAAGACTTTCGAATAATAATAATAATAAAAATAATCTCAGGTCAATTATTTAGATCGTCTCAAACCACACCTTAAACTGCATAAAACGGTGGAGAAATGACATGATTACTGTTCTCAACGAGGAAAAATTATCCGCATTTTTTTATTGTATACGGCTCATTTTCATTACTCGAATTGTACCCTAAGTAGTATCCTGCTTACAATCTGTATTATTATTAGAAGTATTTCATTGTATACATAACATTCCTGCATACGGATTTATCATCACAAGCTACATCCACAGTAGATATATGGAAAATGGGCGGACATAGACGCAATAATCATGACTACTCGGCATGAAAGTATCATTAAACGTTTTCTTTTTAGATAAAGTGGTTCGCTAGTAAAAGAAAACCATAATTTCAAGAATCTATTTTTTTAACAAGCAACTCATCACGATCGTCTTTCATTGTTTTTATACGTTTGCAAGCTTCTGTTCCGATATGCAGTGAACAATATTGTTGTAACTTGGATGAAATTCTTACTAGGTATCTAGAAGACAATTCAATGGGCTCTATCATCTATAGAACTTATTTATGGAAAAAGAATGACGAGCGAAGATGTGTACATTCACTCGATAACTCAATATTAATATCATGTCAATCATCGTGTGACAAGACACAGAAACATTTTCCTAAAACTCACACCATATTGTCAAATAGATCTCAACAAAATCTATTCCTCGGTGCTTAAACTAGCTCGAAATAGTTAATTGGGGTTTCGAAATTAGAAAAAAACAACGAGTAGCATGCAATTCAATCTCCAAAAAACACTTCCACAAAAAATAAGAAAATAGATAAACTAGAAATGGTAGATAAGATTTTATTGATCTTATCTATCAAATATCCTTAAAATATATCTAATGATATTTATGAAAACGGAATAAAGTGGCGGTTAGAACAATTGTTGTTTCCGGCGAGACATAAATGTTGGTGATAACGAATGTCGTTTAACACCGTATTTCCCTGTTTTAGGCTGTGTCGTAAACAATCATCGGAACGGTAGTTGTTTTTCACTCTATCAGAATCGTTTATGACCTTTTACAGATAATTCTATTTGACTTGGAAAGAGAATTAAAAGTTTTCAATAATATAATTCTGTAGTTTTTTAAATTTACCTAATGTTATGATGACCAAAACCCAATTAGCACAAAAAGTAAATAATTCCGTAAGATATGTTGATGAACAATGTATAAAAAGATTTCGACGTGGTCGTACTAAATTTCCAGCATGTGAAAGAAGGACTGCACTATCAAATATTGCCATATAAGTAATAAATACAGCTGCTGAAGTATTACTTAATGATTTTCTATTAATAATAATTAATGCAAGAATATTTGCAAGTATACCACTGGTAGAAAGAAATGTTTGAGGAAATCTAAGAATAAAATTTACGTTTCGCATATATTTATTCATTGCTTGACGATTGAAATCATCTAATGGTGATAATGATGATGTATTGTTGCCTTCTGACATTGCCATATTACCTAGACATAAATATAAGAATATATACTTTGTTCATTCAAAATTACATTTATTATGAAACTTAATATTTTATCAATTTATATAGACAAATAAGAGATACACATTACTTGAAGTGTCGGAAATACAAAGTTACAGTAGATTTTCTTTTTTTTTTTCTTCTACATTATATATGTTAAGATAGAATTTGCCGACCTGATGAAGAATGTGCACCATTTGAATTTTTAGGAATGATTCTTTTACCAGAAAAATTGTCATTTGTTTTAGACGGATTATCTTATTATGAAAAATAAGTTCATTTTTGATAGCTGATATATTTTCAATTTTCTCATTTCCTTTACATTTCACATCTGTTTGTGTCAGATTTATCGTGAACAAGTTGATCTAGGAAAGTCATTTATAAGTGAGTTTCTTAAAGTCACTTTTTCACGCTAAATCTGAAACAAACAATTGTGAAATTTAAAGAAAATGAAAAAATTGAATATTTGTCGGTTATCAAAAATGAATCTGTTTTTCACAAAAGGGCGGTTCATCTGAAAAAAACTGAAAATTTTTTCGCCAAAAGAATCATTCCAAAAAATTTAAAAAGACCATATTCTTGATCAGATCGATGCACTCTATCTTGCCACATATAATGTAAAGAAAAAAAGAAATTCTGCTCTAGTTTTGCATTTTAACACGTTATATCAATAAAGAATCAGACGAAGTTATTTAATCACACGAGTTCAATTTTTGTGAAATATCTTTCATGATAAATAAACCACTAGTCCAATAATTTTTCTGGATTCTTTTTTTAATTTTAGACATGAACTACTCATACTAAAATTGAGTCTTTATAAAAGAAATTGTATGATTGCTAAGTGCATTAAAGATAGAATGCCAATGATAAGACTATCTACACTATGCATCGGTATTTTTCTTATACAGGATAGCGAGGTATAGAAGCATCTCTAAGGAAAAAAAGGAAAGATTAACACGAAAAATAGTATGTATTGAGATAGACTGTATTTTTACTTCAAGGAAAAACGGACTCATATTTCATCAATGTATAGATGTAACATCGCACATAAGAGTACTATGAAAAAGGAAACAAAAGAGTTAAGAATAGTTTTTGTTGACGTTCGTGCTATTAGTCGTAAGTAGACATAATAGTATTTTTGTCAAGTCTAAAAATTACAAATATACAAATAAAAATGTCAGTATTTATTTGCATATAATATGTAATCAAGATTATTTTCTACAAAATCTATTTGGCTTTACTATCAGTCAAGCATAATGAACTGTTTGTTTTCTGAAAAGTATGATTGATTGTGACCATTGTAGTCTCATGTGACACAGTTGTATCTATATTCGTTTTTTATCTTCTAGACTATGATAGATCTTACTTGCTGATGTAGTTGGTGGGTGAGTGAAAAAATAAGGCCAAAAATATAGCGCAAATTATGACAAACGTGTTACATTTCTTTTCCTAATGTGTTGCGATCCATCATATTAATATTGTCTTTCTATCATTGGACATAATTACTTATGAACTAAAATTTTTAACATTTAAGTAACTACAAAAAAAATCTTAAGTATGTTGTATAGGTGGCTTTTTAACCCGTTGGCTCCCGCCTATTTTTGCGCAGATCAAAGTTTTTAAAATTAATCTTTAAATATGATTTATTGATTTCTTTCTTGGTTTAATGTCGTTTTCTCAGAGTGGTCATAATAGGAATGCATGAGGCTGATTGTTGAAATCAATGGCTATTATTCAACGAAGAATGTTTTTTATTCATTCTTACTCTTCTTCTATTTATTCGAACGGTATATATATCATACAGGNCGACAGCAATAAGCTAGCAGCAGGAACTTTTTTCAGGTTATTCATAGATCATTAGGGCCTATATGATGCTCATACTCTCGACTCAAAAGCGATGTGACACTTGGGAATGTTCCCTCGTTAGATATGAGACAGAACCCTGAATAAAACTTGACAAGACTTTTCAGGTTCAGAATCTTCAATGATCCCTTCAGGCTTTCTTAAGAGTGTGAATGCAAAGATGGAATGCTGATTTTTATGGCTGGATCATCGTGCTGAAAAAAAGCACACTCTTACTCTATACGGCGATGGAGATATAGAATTGTAACACTGGACTATGCAATTGACGAAATACAGTCGTATACCGGTTTCGTATTCCTCAACGTGGGTACGAAAGTGACACATCTAATACGAAAATCCATAGCTGAATACAATTGCTTCTTTTAAAGTGACGCTCTTTATGTACGAACATCAGTAGAAAGAATTTAAACGACTAAAAAGTAATTAGTCGTTCAAATGGAGAAGTGAATTGAATTCAAAACGAATAAAAAACTACCACATTGCGTACATCGCTCTGTTTAATCCTCTGAAAATTTAATGAAGATGAATTTCTACTTTGATTATTGTAAAAAAGTGAATAATTGATCTTCTAGAAAAATTATTCGAGGGTTTAAGACTTCTCTGTGCGAAACTATATAATTTCAAAATAGGTTTTAATTACGAATAATTTTATTACTTTCGGTTAACCATGCATCTTGTCATTTATTTTCGAAATCAATATATGGTCGTGACCAACCATAGGGTATCCCGATTCTTATTTGTATATATCACTTCAGTCAGTTATCAGAAAAGTATGATACTTTTACCAATTATAATTAATACACGTATGATGCTAAGGATCTGTTATAGTTTGAGGTGTATTATCTCTCTAAAACCAAAAGTTATCAAGTGCTTCTTTATAATCATTTTGTTAAAGTATTAAGCATCCAATTTGTTAATGTACATCAATTCTTACTTAGAAAATTAAAACAAAATGAAGTATCAACAGCAAAGTTTTATTATCAAATAGCTAATGAATAAATGTAGCGAACTTATCAAGAACTATACCTACCGATAGGATATTTAGTCTGATTCAAATTACATAAAACAGAAACAATCTCTACTATCTTGGTAATCTTATGGAAATCATCAAAAGCTCCTCTATAAATACTACCCAAAATTGCATAAGTTTTGAAACGTTGATTAATGTTTTTGATTGCTGTTCGTGCGCTGTTAATATCACGATTAAAGTTCTTCTCTTCATCTATTCATTCACGCTCATGAAGTTTTTTGGAGTAATTACATATTGTTCACATATATATCCTTTGCCAGCAATAATTTGGACAGATCCTTCTATATATTCCAGTAGCCCTGATTGTCGCAGAACTGTAATGCCACGTACACTTCCATCATAGTACTCAGATACATGTACTATGTGGTGACAAAAGTCACAAGCTATTTCCACTTTCAAAGCATAGCGTGTTGTGCTTTTTGCATGATAATATGCTTTGCGTTGATTTAAATCATGAGATTCTGGAATAGCAATTAAAGTTGAATTAACTTTTAACTGGTGATGTTATTGAAGTGTATGTTTACTGACTCTACTAGTTATATCAGCAGGTAATGATACTAATTGTTGGTATATACACGAATGCAGTATATGTATAACCTCCGTTAAGAAATAATTGACTGTTGATTGATTCAAATTTAGTTCTGTAGAAATATAACGTTCTGAATGATAATGCTTTAACTACCATAACATCACCATAAGCAAATTCATAGGAGATAAAAGTGGTGTGTTGGTATTGTTTGATTGTTGCTTGACTCTATGCAAGCAGTAATCTATAAGTGATTGTTCGCACATCGAATACAGGTGTTGTACTTGTTCAATTTTATGTCCAATATGTTGTGCACAAGATTCATTAGTACGATCTCATTCAGATCGCAAACGTTGTTCTACAAAATGTAAAGGAAGAAAGATATATTACCCATCCATTTTTTGCGTAGTCTCATGATATAAAATAATGAAATGGAAGATGCAAGTCTAAACCAACATGTTGAATTTTGCTTACACCATCTAAGGCCTGAAGTTATTGAATAGCAACATGATTTTCGTCCACTTTCTATGGTTTGTCTTCGAGTTTTGACGTACAATAAATACAGTTGTCACGGTTCTGAAAACAGTATGTGTACAAACCAGACTTTCCCGAATCAATACATGTTCAATTTAACATTGAGTGACAGTTAGTACGATATTTTCGACTATCTGTCGTAGTAGATTAACATTGAGAACAATCCCATTTAACTGATGGAGAGAACATAATACAAATGTGAAAACGTATTCAAGAAAAAGAAGAACGAACAAGAGTCAGGAAAAAAAGATCGTAGTTAGAACAAGAATAATGTAGCTGGAACACAAGACATAATAGAATGAATGAAATCTTATTATGCGCGAAATATATAACGAGAATCAGACGAAGTTCAGAGAAAAAAAGAGAAAGGAATATAAGAATATCGTCTTCTGTGAATGTCTTACCGACGACGATAAGCGTATATATAAGCATGATCTCTGTGAGTGAAAATAAATATGCAACGAAAATAAATAAAATAGAGAAAAATATGTTCTTCGTGGGGCTGGAACCATGCACCTTCTACTATCCGGGCAGATGTCCTATACCAATTAGACTAAAAGAGACATCTTAATCTTAGATTAGTGTCGGAGTGTATCATCACCGACGCTAACAGCATGTGGTAGGCACAGTGCATGCTTTAGTAGATATTGATGTGTATGACTCTATTTGTTGTTTTTTATAAAGTTCTAATACACCGCTGATCGATAATACTTTTTACTAAAACAATCTGTGCTATTAGTAAACCAGAGAAGAGTTGTGAATGCTATGATACCGTTAAAGGTAGCTTCACGTTATATACATATCTTGCACAATCTTATACTCCACAGCAAAATTCTTAGTAAAAATTGATGTACGTTAACAAATTGGATACGTAATACTTCAACAAAATAATTATAAAGAAACACTTGATAAGTTTTGGTTTTAGAGAAATGATATACCTTCAACAATAACAGATCATTAGCATCATACATGCACTATAATTGGTAAAAGAATCACATTTTTCTGATAACTGACTGAAGTTA